ACAGTTCAGCGCACTTGGATCGGCGTTCGTAGATCGACTGGTAGAGACTATTTTTCAAAGATGGCTTCTTCCTGTATTCGCGAAGTTGACTGTGTGTATAAAATATCTTCTTATTAAACTGTTTGGACACTGACAAAGTTCTCAATGCTTCGGTTTGAATGTAGGGACCCTTATTATGCTGTCGTGTTAGTGTGGGGCTATTTTGAGCCTTGTTAGTGGTAATAACAAGCGATTTTTATTTGTCATTACTCTATGCCCTATATAGGCTAATATAGGCTAAACTGTTTTTAGAGATAAAACTATTTACATTCGGCAATCATGAAAACAAATCTCAGATAACGGTTGACTAGGTAGCAATGTGTAATTAGACCAAAGGTTCATTTTGCGCCGGAGTTCTCCTTTAATGTATTACTTTAACTACTTTGAAGCCATTCTGCAGCCCCCATGGGCAGTTTGCTCTAGCTCCAGTCCCTCTGGCCAAAAACCAAAGCATGAGAATGGGTTCTCAACTCTGGCCCTCAAGGTCCACTTTCATGCAGATTTTCAGCACAAACCCTAATCAAACAAACCTGAACAAGCTAATCAATGTTTTCATAATTACTAGATAGGTACAGGCAGGTGAGTCAGTCAAGGTTGGAGCGAAAACTGCAGGAAAGTGGGATCTCGAGGGGCAGAGTTGAGATCAGATGATTTTTCAAGAAGGATTCTGACCTCATAGTCCATCTCCAGGCAGGCAAACATGGGGTTCTCAAAGCCCACGTCCACACCAACCACATGGTAGACAAGTGTATTAGCCTTATGGGCCTCTAGAGGGGAGGAGATGGTAAGGCGGGCAGCTGCATCTCTGTTCAGGATGTATACCAACTTCTGCTTTTCTGTGGCACCTGGGAGAGGAAAAAGTGCATAGTTCAAATTATTAAACGGGTTACATATGAAAATGCTGCTTTATTGCATTTGCTTTTCAATGCATATTTTGATTATCAGCTTTCTAGTTATACCTATCATAACAGCTCTGCCTTTTGGGTCCACAGCGAGGAACTGCCCAGGCACGATACGTCTGCAGCCACTCTTGCCAAACGTCTCCTGGTGGATCTTTTCAAACATGTTCTTGGAGGGATGGTACTCCAGGATCACAATACGTCCAGAGTCACTCCCCACCACAACATAGTCTAAAATTACATAATGAGATCCATGAAATTAAATTTTCTACATATGAACTATGCAAAACAACAATTAGAACCAAGTGTCTCACCTTTAGTTCCACCTGTTAGCCTGAAGGCCATGAGGGACCGGATTACACCAAACACCTCCATAGTAAGCAGAGTGTGGACCTTCCCTGTGTTGGCATCAGGACGCAGCAGTTCCAGGATTTTCCCACGGGAAACAACAATCTCCTGCTGTTTAGTTCCTAGTAAGAGAGAAACACCACTTAGGATTTAAACATCATGCTTAAAGTCACCATGAAACCAAAACTGACAATTTCTGTTTTTTAAAGGGATTTGTAGTATTTATTATAAAAGGATTACCCCAAACACATCATTATTATCTGAAATCCATGCACCCTCATAATATTTAATCAAAATAACTTCCCCTCCAACTTGCAATGACATATCTAATGACATGTTTAATGGCGCAAGGGCGAAACAACCTGTCAATCACATAATCCGCAACAGTCCAAAACAATTTCCGGTGAGCAAAATCAAGCCCCGCCCTACATTCTTCTTGTTGGAGATACATATCATAATAAAGTCAACCCTAATTCAATCTCAAATTTGATACAGCAATAATTTCTCCAACAAAATATAAGTAAAGCACACTGCTTTTAAAGTCCCCATGTGGTGAAAAATCAAGCTTTTAATATTGTTTATCTATGTGGAGTTTTTAATATGCTTTTAGACAAACCATTTGCAAATTCACAAGTCAGCGCCATCACTGAGTATTTTCTCTTTAAAACTGCTAGGGCTGGCCAAAACTTTTATTTTGAATGCGATTAATCGTTGAACAGCCCTAAAAACTACAGAGAACTGAAGACATTCTCAAAAATGTCATTTGAAATTGATGATGTCACAAACTACCTTGTAACTAATCATGTCAACGTGATCATTCAACGAGTGGATCTCTGAGCTGGTGTGGGTGAGTGGAAGCAGAGCAACTTTGCACATTCATACTGTAGAACCGCTTATACTAAATTAGGCAAGGGTGTAGTTACATTCAAACTATTTTAAGGCATGACGGAAAAGGAAAAAAAGTTTAAATGTTATTTTGTTGATCAAATGAGTTAAGGGATAAAATGATTGACTACAGGGGGACTTAAAGAAATTACCCATGACTCAGTGTTGTTCAGTGACGTACCTGAGAAGTTGCCATGGATGGCATGGGAGATGCCAGTTGCCCGCTGCAGGGTCAGGTTGTACAGAAACATGGCTGCTGTCACTGGACCTGAGGCTCAGGACAAAGAGCTAAACCAGCACCACCTACAAGCATATGCCAAAGAGATTAAGTACCGAAGTAAACAATGGTGAGGACAGCAAAAAGACTGGTTACAAAGCAATAAAAGGAGTTTTTTTCATCTAGAAACTGTATACCTAACGTTACACCTACGTGCTGGTGTGCGGAAATGATAACTTACATGACGGCATTCAAACTAAATTTAGGGTTAACATGTATTAATAGACCCAAGTCAAACCACATTTGTGTAAAACAAACTGAAAACTGCATTTTGAAAGCACAATAAGCTAAATGAGTGTTCCTGTAGTAGTACTTCATGTAACATACTAATTTACTGCCAACGGCACTTGAAATTGCAAGCGCTAGTCAGTCCATTCAGCATTAGCTAGTTGGCTAACAAACTTTGTGAAAATAAAGGTTATAACTATAATTTACGAACACAGATTTTAGTACGATTAAGCAATATGGGTTATTCTGGAATCGTACGAAACATATTTACCGAAATAGCAACCAGGATGTTGTAGATTTCAATCAGATGAGAAACTTATATTTTTCATTGGCCTTGGTCGCTCGTTATTTCAAACGGCGCTGAAACGACAGAGGGCCTCCTAGTTCTGTGGCGCATAGAAGTGTTGTCCGAATATGTGCCTGAAAGGAAAGATCGACCTCAAAAAGATTTGGTAGAAACGTTTAAAAAGCACTTCTTCTGTATTTCTCTTTTATATATTTCTTAGTTTTATGTTATAATATTTGATTTGATTATTTTGTTTTTATTTAATGTCTTTTTATAAGCCTTGTATTTTATAAACCCATTTACACTGAGTCTAGCATCACAGACAGAAAAGGACTGTACAAGCTTAAAATTGTATACATTTACCACGGTAACCATTTTTTTCGCCTAAGTAACAGTTAGCTACTGCAGTCCCCGGTTTTGGCCATGTCTTAAAATATATATATAGGTATACTTTTTTTCTGAATTATTCGGAAAGCTTTTTAAAACTGTTCTAAGGAGCTCCCATAATTATCTAACCATGATATTTTGGTAAAAACTGACAGCCATTAAAAAACCGTAACCAGTTTCTTCCGAAAAGAAGGTCGCCGAAGTTTCAATGCTGCCTATCGGAATTATAATTATAACTACTAGTGTCCAAGTTTAAACGTTGGACATGAACATTCAAGACAAGATTTGAATGCGATTAGTTCGTAAACACGACTTTAGAAGTGGGAAGTAGGAAATTTCCGACTGCAAGAAGTGAAGGCAGCTCCCCCTCTCTCCTCCTCTCTTTGGGTGTACGTGAGACGTGGTTGTGTGGAAATCCCAGAAAATAACCACATACCGGCAAAATGTTTCATTCTTTCCATTACAGTATGAAACGATGATCAAATTTATATCACTACGCTACCACTATTTATGGTTAGAAATCGCGAGAGAACTACTAGCCTACCGTCATGCGTTTGACTAATAGGCTAGTCTTAACCATTTATGGCAATATGTATTTAGGCGTAATATTTAATTCTAGTTGATCTAGTAATTATTTTATTCTAGTTTAATGTTTCTCTTTTTTAATTTAATTTGCATTGTGTTTTATTTTTGCATTGGCAATATTAGGCCTATATATAAAACAATCATGACAATAAAGTTGCCTGGACTGTAATATATATATATATATATATATATATATATATATGATTTCTTATCACAACTTTTTTTTTCTCTTGTCAGATCAACTTTGAATCTTACAGAGGCAACAGTTTGTAGACCTGATCACATTTTTTTATCTATTTTTGTCTGTCATTTATGACCAAATAAAATTCGATTAAAAAAAGTGTGTGAAGTTTACACTTTGTCCAGTCTCAGTGTAGTGCAAAAAAAGGCATGAATCTTTTCCACAAGGCGGCAGCAATGCATCAACTGGGACTTGTCTGGAATGCACAATGAGAATTAATTCCATATATATTGCCACGTATTAAAAACCATAGGCCGACACGAGGAAAAATAACAGCCTGAATGCTACTTCTAATATAGCATCTCAACATCATAAAAAGTAGCCTAATGTAGCCTATGTGTCTGTAGGTTATGCAAATATAGCCTATCCTATTTTTTCAGGACAGTGATTAGATTTAACAACAGATATGAATATACGAGAAATATAGAATATGTATGTAGGACTATACATTCATCTATAGAGAGAATATATAATTTTACGTTGTGGACAGATTGAATGTATATTCTCCGAGCATCCTCAATCACAGCACTTAGCGGTCTGCTGTGAATTCCATCTGTTCCAAATGCATTGTGGGAAATGTAGTACAAAAAGGCTCATGACTCGCAAGCAACACTTGCCACCAACTTACACCACTTTTCAGGTGTTGTGTAGATAAATACACAAGAAATAATGAATTGGGTAAGTCACTTAAGTAACTGCACGAGCAAGGTAAAGGTTCGCAGTTAAGTAATACATCATTTAAAGAACTACATATCCCACTAGACTATAAAGGCGATTGGAGAATGTGGGGTAAGGGTGTCTTGTTGAGGGGGGGCAACACACGGACTACACGCAACGTTGTGAGAATTACATTGTTGCACATTATCCAAGGGCTTAGAGACGCTAAAATAACGCACAACAGGATTCTGTGCACATCTGCATTGCATTGGCTATGTGGACGCTGCAACAACTACCGACAAAGAATTCATGTGAACAATCTGATGGAAGCTGAATGCTCTTCATTTAGTGCAACATCTACAACAGTCTGCAGAAATTTACATTCTAGGGAGGAAGAGAAGTGGGTGTCTTCATATCCAAAAACTGCCTCAGTTTTAAGAATACATCATGATGAAAGGTTATGCATCTTAAGAGGCATTGCGAGGTAAGAAAAGCATGAGCATCATAACATTTGTGATTTGTGTCTATTGTGTGAGATAACCTGTTGTGGTCAATGCTTATGTGGTTTTCAGTCCATTAATGTCTCATCCCTCCTTTTTATTTTGAAAGCACATAGTCCCAGATTGTGTAGCTAGAGTGGTCCATGGCCCGCATCATGCATAGAGGCACTCAAGAGGGACCCGTGGCTTACCCCTTTGTGTCCGAACCCATCTCATTTATGTGAGGGTCTCATTCCACTAAACCCACCCTTACCGATCTGCCAGCGTTGCTTAGATACAGGAAAGAAAGAAGGGTAGTAAAGGATTTTCTTGAGGTTGATGTGACAGGGTGACCTAATCAAGTCTTTGTCTAGCGCTTGTGCAGTTTGTTCAAAGTAGACACAACTGAACTCCTTAAATGTGAATGTAAACTCAATAAAGTATGTTGTCCAGAAAGACAAGAAAAATGTATTAAAGATCTATAACATCCAGTTTCTTTTCTCATGGAAACTTCCATTTTTTAGACGAAATCTCTTTAGCGATCCGATTCATGGCTGTATCAGAGATTTAACCTCACTTGTGCATTAACAAACGTTGTGCTTTAAAGGTTTTCATAGATTTTTGCTGACCAGCATTCCATCCCCAAAGAATTGTGCATTTAGCAAACATCACAGATAAATTGGTTATTAGTGGTTTAAACTAGATTTGTTAACATTTCTGTAATATATATATATATATATATATAGAGAGAGAGAGAGAGAGAGAGAGAGAGATTTTGAAGAAATGCAATGTTTTTTACATTTGTTTATTGTTATTTTAAAAAAGTCTGTTCTGACCATACCGAGTTGCATAACACCTTACCAAGTTATACTCAATTGGTATTAACTGAAGGTTCTTTTTTTATTAATATTTGAATTATATTTAGACCGATAAGAATTTTGGCATCATGGCATTTCAGATGAGTGGGCCTTAAGCCCATTTTATGGTGCTTTAACTTCTACTATATCATAATATTTCAGTATCTAAACACAGGCTTTTGCTGCAACACCTTTAATTAATATCTGATTCTATCATGACATTGAATTTGCCCTTTGCTAATTGTTCCCTTTTCAGTGACAGAATTTGAGGACAGTTGCTGTTTGGGTTAATTGCGTGACTGTGGTGATAGGGCACTCTTTTAGCCTAGAGTTTATTTGATGAAATATCATGCATACTGAAAAATGCTGTATAGGTGTATTTTAAAACAAGTCAATTTAACAAATAATTACATAGAAACAACACTTTGAATTACCATGATATTTTAAAGTAATGGAATAGTCCTGTAAAATAATAATAATAATACAACTAAGAACATTTATTTGGTAACACTTTACATTAAGGTCTCATTTGTTAACCGTTCATGCATTTGTTCATTAACATGAACTATATATTCTTATAGCATTTAGTAACCTTTGTTAATGTTAGTTATAAACCATTTTTGACCTCAAAAATGTATCAGTAAATGTTGACATTAATACATGTTGTAGAAGTATTGGTCGTTATTATACTAATTTAGTAAACTATTAAAATAGTAAAATGTTACCATAATTTTTGTTGTTTTGTACAGTGTCAAGGACACATGCACTCAAAAATAAATCTGTTTCTCAGCTCACCATGCATACGCAGTCCAGAAAGCAAATGGCCCAGCTGAGTTTAGCATGACGAGTTGTAGACATCCAGTGTAATGTTTCCCAAGGCTTAATGGAGGATCATCAATTTCTTATTAAATCTTCTGCGACGGTATGCACAGTGGCTCAGTGCTGAAACTATATAATGAATAAATCATAGCATTGAATATTTTAATCACTTGATGTGTGTAATGGTTATGTTAGTTCTGTTTTATTGTCATTGTGTTTTGGTTTGCCTGTGTCTGCTAGCCAGTTTAAGTGTGGTAAGACTTGTTATTTCTCCCGTCGTTTTCCTGCACTGTAAAAAAAATATTTTCATGATTTGTATTGTAATCACAACATTTTTCATTTGTCAAATCAACTTAGATAATTTATGTAGTTCAGATAACATAATATTTTGAGTTTCTGGTGATTAAATTAATCTCCTTCATTGTATGAACTAAATTTTTCCATTTCAATTAACTTAAAATTTTAAGGCAACCAGGTTACTTATTTTTTTAAATTAAACCAACAATATTTTTTACAGTGCAGTTTTGGGGGCCTGAAAACACAAACTTTTAAAAACGGGTTTTAAAATGCACTTTTTTGAAAACGATACCGTTATCGTATGTGTAAACTACAAAAACATGAATTTGTAAAAACGGTGACATCTTGTGCATGTGTATTACATGTACAGTATAAAAGTGACTTTGCCAAAATACTGGCCTCGCAGCATGACACGTTTTTTTTTATCGTTTTCAAAGATCCATGTGAACGGGGATCCTTTTGTCAGGAAAACTTTTCAGTTTTTAGTACATTGTTGTTGTGTAAAGGTGCACTCAATGAAACAATCTTTAATAAACTAAACGATCATTCAAATGGTGCATACATTTTTTATGAAGTGTTGTGAGTCTCCTGCCATGCATGTTGTCAAACCACATCGATGCTGTGACAATGTGTTTCTTAAACATGCATGTCCTTGAGTTGGAATTACTGTCTAAACTATTCAAATGTAAAAAAAAAAAAAAAAAGTTGCTGCCTTAAATTTTTTAAGTTCTATAAACTTAAATGTAGAAGTCATTTCAACTTAAATTACGTTAAAATTGGCTTTAAAATAAGTTGAATCTTGATGGGTTAAAATAATGTAAAAACACGTTTTCATGACTTACTGACATAATTATTTGCAGTGTTGTGTACAACAGTGGAATAAAAAAGAACTTTGTGTGATAGATTGGAAACTTGTCTTGTTTGAGCAACTGTTCCATATGACAGATGTTCATCATCTTCTGTAACTAGGCTATCATAGTACCTTGGGAATTTTAGGAGCTAGCAAAAGTCCTGCTGTCTTAGCCTTAACTAGGTTAACACTGTACAGAGGGAGGACGCTGTCAACGAGTCATATATGAGAGCTTTTAAATGGGTTACTCTTTGGGAAACCTTTTTCTATCATCTTGGGCTCAAATTGGTTAATTCAATGAGCTGTGACAACACCTGAAATCCAGCTATATCAACTTAAATAGCTCAACTCAACATTTACAGTTATGTTTGCCTCTTCATTTGGAGACCACGTGGATTGTACAGAAAATAACAAATAGGGCACCTGCTGGTGAAGCCAAGCGTTATCTATATATCTGCGTGTGTACTGGGTTTCTTTTTCCCAGGGAGACCTGCTCCCAAACCCAAACAGATGGAATAGTTTTCTTTCAGATGCTCATCATGTCAGATCAATGTAATGGTTTTACACACAGTTTCTGCCACAGTATATATACATATAAAAAGATAACTAGGGCTGTCAAACGATTAATCGCATCCAAAATAAAAGTTTGTGTTTACATAATATATGTGGGTGCACTGTGTATAATTATTTTATACATATTTAAATACACATATATGCTTGTATATATTTAAGAAAACTTTTCATGTATATACTGTATATAGATTTATATATAATTTATATTATATATAAATATAAATATTTTATATATAAATAATATTTTTCCCCTAAATATACATGCATGTGTGTGTATTTATATACATATATATACACAAAATAATTATACACAGTGCACCCACATATATTATGTAAACACAAACTTTTTTACTTTGCGATTAATAGCGATTAAGCCTTTGACAGCCCTAATAAATACACACACATGCTTGTATATATTTAAGAAAAAGTTTAATGTATATACTGTATATAGGTTTATTTATATAGAATTTATATTATATATAAATATAAATAATTTATAAATATTTTTTTCTTAAATATACATGCATGTGTATATATATATATATATATATATATATATATATACTGTATATGAAGAGTTCAGATGCAAAAGCCTCTAAATGCCATTTGAAATTTTCTTCTTTAATGATGATTTTTATCAAACTTATTGAGTTCAGTAATTTCACTTTAATAACAATTAATAGGTAATTATCATTGCCATTTAAGTGAAATCACTGAACTTAAATATATAAGCTTGATTAATTATCATTCTAGAAGAAAATTTCAAATGGCACTTAGAGGCTTTTGCATCTGAACTCTTCATATATATATATATATATATATATACAAAATAATTATACACAGTGCACCCACATATATTATGTAAACGCAAACTTTTATTTTGGATGCAATTAATCGCGATTAATCGTTTCACAGCCCTAAAGATAATTGCGACTTTTTATCTAGCAGTTTTGACTCTCACAATTGTTTATATTTCACAATTTCAAGTTTATCTCTTGCAGTTCCCATTTTATAATTCACAATTCAAAATGATACCTCCGGATTGTGATTTTTTTTCTCAGACTTGTTAGGCAAACTCGGAATCACAAGTTATAAAGTCTGAATTGTGAGATGGAAACTCGCAATTGCAAGAAAAAGAATTGCAAGATAAAAGATTTTTCGTGGCAGAAACAAGATTCCATCTGCAACATCATCTGAGTTCAGGAAGGTAACATGACATTCTCACCTTTCTATACATTTGAAAACATAAGATTGATTAGATTAATGCAGTGTGGAACTGAACAAGCACACACAACTGTAGCTTACCTCATTTACTAATCGTAAATTAATCCAAATGACGCGTTAACAAAAATAGATCTGGGATTTATTTTAATTTTGGAGCTCGCCATGTAAATCACTCTGGAAAGCAAATAGCCAGCCTGAGTTGAGTGTAAATATGAGTTGACATCTAATTGATAGATTAAGGGAAACTATAATTGGCACACAACCTTATAATCACACATTGCAGCACTTTGGTCAGGTAAGGGTTAACTGTGCCAGCAATGAGGGTGATGCTCCGGAGCCAGCGTTGCCCCTGGTTTTCCTCTCGATCGATGGGCTCTGCGACAGGCCTTGGCATCTGGCCCCAGTCTAGGTGGCCTGAGAGGATCTGTACTGGATGAGTGAGGGAGAGAGAGACACAGGAGAAGAAACACTTTGTCATGCAGAGAAAGGGATTAAAAACATTGTTAGAAATGGAAAGGTATGACATAGAAAGGGGCACAGGCTGAAAGGGCATCCTTTTCTGTACTTGCCAAATAGAAAGAGATACTGTCAATAGATCAGTAGATCCGCAGATGCATGGATAATTCATGAATACGCCACTGGGGAAAAGTGAGGAGATGTGAAAGAACAACGGAGACAAGGTCAGTGAGGAGCAGGTGGTCAGGTTGACCACATATTGTTTCCATTTGTCTGCTTTTTTAGGGATGATTTCAAAGTGCATCATTTAAAAATACAAGGTTTTATTTAGGGCTGCATGATATATCGCAAATGTATTATCGCAACTGCATGCAATAACTGCATGATTTTAACATTTCAAAAGAGAGTAGACAGACTGTAGACGACAAGTGTGGCATGCTAAGCGAAGTACTCATGCGCATTGAAAGACGATTCTCGGACAGCGCGCAATCCCAAATTCAGTTCTCTTCCTCAGCTTATAAATGCCCGTCTTGGCCAGTATTCACATAAACACAGTCAGTTATGTCTTAAATGGAGAAAAAAGCTCCTAAAGTGACTGCAGCCAAATAAACCTGCTTCCGACTGTTTGCTTAAAAGCTTTTAAAAAAATTTTTGCTGATAATTTACTCATCCCCATGTCATCCAAGATGTACACGTCTTTCTTTCTTCAGTCGAAAAAAAAAAATTAAGGTTTTTGATGAAAACATTCCAGGATTTCTCCATATAATGGACTTCATTGGGAGTCGAACGATTCAAGGTTCAAATGAGAGTTTCAGTGCAGCTTCAAAGGGCTTTAAAGACACCAGACGATGAATAAGGGTCTTATCTAGGACCATTCGAGTCATGACTCGAAAAAAGTTTTGTTCATTTTGATGAACGAGTTTGAACAGGAGAGTCACGAACGCTCATCACAGAACAGAGCAAGGCGACCATTTGTGCTTATAAAACTTAAACTTTTTAATTTATTAGCGAAAGAGCGATCTTTTTACTAGATAAGACCCTTATTCATCGTCTGGTGTCGTTTAAAGCCCTTTGAAGCTGCACTGAAACTCTAATTTGGACCTTGAACCGTTTGGTTCCCATTGAAGTCCATTATATGGAGAAAATCCTGGAATGTTTATCAAAAACCTTAATTTCTTTTTTTAATATTTTGATATTATTTAAAATCACTCACTGCTCTTGACTGAATAACGTTTGTAGCTCCAATAAGAATTAGTATGTAATTCATAGTGAAGACTAGGCAGTGATTTATTTTTTACATAAATGTATAATTATTCAATTTCTGTTGTTAAAGAAACCTAATGTAAATAAGTCTTTCTGGTACTCTAAACCACCAATGTTAAAATGACAGTTATTTGATTATTATATATGATTTTTGTAATTGATAGGTCACTCACTTCACCTGTGCTTATGCCTTAAATCAAAGTCAATGTTCCTTAATAGGAGCTACACACATACTGCATTTTAGAGCCTGAAGCAAGGGATAGGGTGCTGAGTCAGATACTTGGGCAGCCTCAGCTGTTAAGAGCTCCCATAGCACACAAACACATATTTCTGGTGAGGCAGTTTATGCAAGAACAAGACAGTGACTGTACCGTCCATTGTTGCAGTGACAAGAAGATCTGTCCTGTTCAATCGTTTTTAACTTCTATGGTCTGTTTGCTTCTTCTTTGAGATGCTTTATGCTCTGATTTAAATGGTAAGATGGAAAACTTCAGTATTCTTCCCAGGCCTTTGAGATCCGTGAGGACTGTTTTCTACAGCAATGTGGCTGTGGCTTATCATAGTCGATCATAATAGACCAGCTTCTGCGGGCTGGACACGGTGGACCTGACTGGTGTTGGCATCCCCTGTGGATAGATGCAGAAAAGCATGATGAAGGGTCAACAGTAGCTCGAGGAGAATGACTCAAGAGGGCATGTTAGCTCATTGCTTTTGGCCACAAACACAATTCATGAGTACGGACTGCTTGGCTGTATGCTGATAACTGATCCAGTGCCTCCTCAGGGTAATGCCACATTTAGAATGGATATGAAATATATTCTCAGAGTTAAAAGAAAAGAAAATATGTTTTTTAGATGAGAACTTAAAGCTTTTTATCTATGCCCAAGATAATTGTGACATTAAGTTAATCAGGCAGAAACTTGTTGAGATGAGTCAAAATAACACCTAAGGTTATATCTAGTTCTACTTTCATGTTTGGAGCACAAGGCTAAATTAATCTTCCCTTGAGAGAGTATAAAATAAGATGAAACTAAAAAAAAAAATAAAAATAAAATGAGAGCCAGTATTTTCTGAAAGGAATGGGAAATAAACATGACTGAAGCTGAAAGCTACATAAAATGCATTTGAGTCTTGAATTTGATTAGAGATGTAGAAATTTTCACTTGTTTTTCTGTCATTGAGTTGGTTTAAGGCTTAGGGTTACGGGCTTGATGTGAAACGTTATAGTTTTTTGTGATTAGCGTGACTGTGATTGTAACTAGGACTAACCGGGATAAATTTTTTTTTAATTTTACAACACATCTTCGAATTAAGTTCAGTATGTGAACTCTGTAAATTACTCTGCCACATTCCCAAGAATTAAATGCTATTCCTCTCACAGTTATAGAGTTTCACAATGTCGACTGAACAAAGAATCATTGAAGAAAGGCTGACACCAGATCACCTTGGAAGAAAATGTGGATTGAAATTGCTAAATCATAAATTTAGTCAACATTTTTAAATGGAAAAAAAGAGACAACAATCATACTTTTCTCCCAAGAGAGGTCTAACAAGCAATAATGTATCCAGCTTTAAAAGGGTTTAATCCATTAAACATGAAATTAGATTAAGCCTTAGGGCCAAGCCGTTGAAAATTACTATTTTATGATTAGATTAATCCTCGGCCAAGAGAGAGTGCGCGCTTTGTCAGTATGTTAACCCTAGTCACTGGACAGGCATCGTTTTTCCATCCAGTCTGATTACAGCGCAAAATTGGAGCATTTACTGTTGAATATTTGAGAACAACCTGTCCAGCATGTGAGTCGGAGAAATTGCAAGCCCACCCAGTATGTGAATGTCTGCTCTTCTCTTTCAATTACATTTCCATTGCAGCCAGCTGTGAGGTTTCGTTGCCAAGGCAACTCAGACACCCACTCTATAGTGCTCGGCTCACCCTTGCTGATCAGGCACATTGGTCAAGACCCACTAAAAGCGACTGAACAGCAAGAGAGGGAAAGAAAGGGTAAGCTAAGGTCAGTGGATGTTTTGTGTGTAATACCTGTATCAGAGTTTGAAGGAGGAAGAAATGGAAAAATTGATATTCGTGTTCTCTGCCTGAATTGATCCTTGAGAACGTATTACAAGCATGTGTCATATGAATATGTGTCGAGTCAAGAATGAGTGTTAATATGTTGAGCACAACTGTGAAAGCAATATCTGTTTAGGTGTGCTGACCAAAAGAGAAAAATAATGGTTCCATATCTCAAGTGCCTGTTTGTTGTGAGTCTAGCAAGCAATGTGTGCTGATGGCTTTATAAATGAGAAGACTGTCATTTTGAGATATTGGATGGGGGTTGAGGATGTGATGCTTGGTGAGAAAATGAAGCATGAATTGAATAGACTGGGAGCATAATTCTGCTTTAAGAGGATTTTGCCTTTCATTTGAGATTTTATATTCTATATGGTCTACTGATTTCCATACTTTTTTTAGACAGTGCATCACACTTATTTGCTGGTCATAAAACTCTCATGCCGTTTTTACTTTGGTTCTGAAACGGCATGTATAGAGAGAGCATAGATTAATTTAAACAAATTGCAATTGAAATTAATATAGAAAAATGAAATTATAAATAAACTATTAGCCAATTATTATTAACCAACTATTATTAATTATGATTCTTTTTTCAATTAAATTTTAGTAACCACAAAAGTTTAAAAGTTACAGTTTGTTAAAAGTTTTCACTGATTATTTGTCATGTTTTGCTAAATGTAAACATCCGCACTATATATGTATTTATATATTTTTTATTTTAGTTTAAAACTAACATGAACCAAACCACTGCCCCAAAAACATTAGGCCTTTGACAGAATTATTTTTAATAAGTAAAATGTCATTAAATAACCGCACACTACATGCATCTACTCACTGACAACTTCATTTGAATTTTAGCTTATTACTTTAGCTTAGTACTGTACAGACTAAAGGAGTTCAAAATCGAAAAGATAAATGGAACAAAAAGTTTGGGTAACACTTTATTTTACGACCCGCAAACAACTGGGTAAGTACACAATAATTACGGTGTACGTTTCTGTAATTATATTGTACTTCCGTGTAAGTATAAGGGAACAATATGTTAAGTTTGGGGTAATAAAGGGGTAACAAGCAGATATACAACCTGCAAATAACTTCGTAAGTACACTGAAATTACGATGTACGTTTCTGTGAATATAGTGTACTTCTGTGTAGGTATAAGGGAACAATATGTAAGTTTGGGGTAAAAAGGGGGTAACAAGCACCACTTTAATTTACAGCCCGCAGGAGTTAAACTTACCCTGTAACTACACAGAACAAGGGGGTAACAAACACCACTTTAATTTACAGCCCGCAATAGTTACACTTACCCTGTAACTACACAGAACAAGGGGGTAACAAGCACCACTTTAATTTACAGCCCGCAATAGTTACACTTACCCTGTAACTACACAGAACAAGGGGGTAACAAGCACCACTTTAATTTACAGCCCGCAATAGTTACACTTACCCTGTAACTACACAGAACAAGGGGGTAACAAGCACCACTTTAATTTACAGCCCGCAATGGTTACACTTACCCTGTAACTACACAGAACAAGGGGGTAACAAGCACCACTTTAATTTACAGCCCGCAATGGTTACACTTACCCTGTAACTACACAGAACAAGGGGGTAACAAACACCACTTTAATTTACAGCCCGCAATAGTTACACTTACCCTGTAACTACACAAAACAAGGGGGTAACAAGCACCACTTTAATTTACAGCCCGCAATGGTTACACTTACCCTGTAACTACACAGAACAAGGGGGTAACAAGCACCACTTTAATTTACAGCCCGCAATGGTTACACTTACCCTGTAACTACACAGAACAAGGGGGTAACAAACACCACTTTAATTTACAGCCCGCAGGAGTTAAACTTACCCTGTAACTACACAGAACAAGGGGGTAACAAACACCACTTTAATTTACAGCCCGCAATAGTTACACTTACCCTGTAACTACACAGAACAAGGGGGTAACAAGCACCACTTTAATTTACAGCCCGCAATGGTTACACTTACCCTGTAACTACACAGAACAAGGGGGTAACAAACACCACTTTAATTTACAGCCCGCAATAGTTACACTTACCCTGTAACTACACAGAACAAGGGGGTAACAAGCACCACTTTAATTTACAGCCCGCAATGGTTACACTTACCCTGTAACTACACAGAACAAGGGGGTAACAAGCACCACTTTAATTTACAGCCCACAATGGTTACACTTACCCTGTAACTATACAGAACAAGGGGGTAACAAGCACCACTTTAATTTACAGCCCGCAATGGTTACACTTACCCTGTAACTATACAGAACAAGGGGGTAACAAGCACCACTTTAATTTACAGCCCGCAATGGTTACACTTACCCTGTAACTACACAGAACAAGGGGGTAACAAACACCACTTTAATTTACAGCCCGCAGGAGTTAAACTTACCCTGTAACTACACAGAACAAGGGGGTAACAAACACCACTTTAATTTACAGCCCGCAATAGTTACACTTACCCTGTAACTACACAGAACAAGGGGGTAACAAGCACCACTTTAATTTACAGCCCGCAATGGTTACACTTACCCTGTAACTACACAGAACAAGGGGGTAACAAGCACCACTTTAATTTACAGCCCGCAATGGTTACACTTACCCTGTAACTACACAGAACAAGGGGGTAACAAACACCACTTTAATTTACAGCCCGCAATAGTTACACTTACCCTGTAACTACACAGAACAAGGGGTAACAAGCACCACTTTAATTTACAGCCCGCAATGGTTACACTTACCCTGTAACTACACAGAACAAGGGGGTAACAAGCACCACTTTAATTTACAGCCCGCAATGGTTACACTTACCCTGTAACTACACAGAACAAGGGGGTAACAAACACCACTTTAATTTACAGCCCGCAATAGTTACACTTACCCTGTAACTACACAGAACAAGGGGGTAACAAGCACCACTTTAATTTACAGCCCGCAATGGTTACACTTACCCTGTAACTACACAGAACAAGGGGGTTACAAGCACCACTTTAATTTACAGCCCGCAATGGTTACACTTACCCTGTAACTACACAGAACAAGGGGGTAACAAGCACCACTTTAATTTACAGCCCGCAATGGTTACACTTACCCTGTAACTACACAGAACAAGGGGGTAACAAGCACCACTTTAATTTACAGCCCGCAATGGTTACACTTACCCTGTAACTACACAGAACAAGGGGGTTACAAGCACCACTTTAATTTACAGCCCGCAATGGTTACACTTACCCTGTAACTACACAGAACAAGGGGGTAACAAGCACCATTTTAATTTACAGCCCGCAATGGTTACACTTACCCTGTAAGTGCACAGAACAAGGGGGTAACAAGCACCACTTTAATTTACAGCCCGCAATGGTTACACTTACTCTGTAAATACACAGAACAAGGGGGTAACAAACGCTACTTACTATGTAGCAATACAAAACAACACTATTTGCACTGTAATTACAGTACTGTTATCAAGAAAATAAAACAACAACAACAAAAAGAGTTTTAATTGCACAGTATATTTGGCCTGACATTTAAGTGTCATTGCAATTCAATGGAATTACCACAAGGTACAGTTTATATTAAAATCATAACAGAAAATAATTATTTTGATTTAACATTAAATAATCTTGTAAGAAAATCCAATAAATTAAACACATATATATATATAATTTAATTTTTTTAAGTTTAATTTTCAACCCACAGATGTCAAAATTACCCTGTAATTGCACAAGAACATATTTAGCCAGAAATGTGATGCATTTTATTAACAACAGACGTACATTTTTTGCCTGGAAAATATTAAAAGAATAGGTACCTGTTATTTTTTAACTAATTAAATAATTTGCTTGTATATCTGCTTGTTACCCCCTTATTACCTCAAACTTAACATATTGTTCCCTTATACCTACACAGAAGTACACTATATTCACAGAAACGTACATCGTAATTTCAGTGTACTTACGAAGTTATTTGCAGGTTGTATATCTGCTTGTTACCCCTTTATTACCCCAAACTTAACATATTGTTCCCTTATACTTACACGGAAGTACAATATAATTACAGAAATGTACACCGTAATTTCTGTGTACTTACCCAGTTGTTTGCGGGTCGTAAAATAAAGTGTTACCAAAGTTTGCGTAATCCAACATAAAAGTAACAACTTGGGCGCGTTCACACCTTTCAGAAAGTCAAACCTGATCGCACTCCCGTCGCATAACCTTCGCAGCAGCATGAATGAGTTAAGGCCAGGGTGTTGCAGAAATAAACATTATTAAACTGGAATTGATAACGGTGTTAAATGATTGTGCATGCAGCCTATTTCACTATTTCTATATTTTAAATTGTGGGCGACAGTTTGTGTGAATGATTGTTTTCAACTGTTTGTTGCGAGTTTGAATGTTCTATTAAATGACAACTTTGACTAAATTTGTTTACAAAGGAGCCGTTGTTTATGCTCGCTGGGAAACGCGAAGCTAACGTTATCATGCTATTGTTGCGTCCTTGTATGGGAGCCTCAGGTGGCGAAACGTTTTATTGTGTTTTGTTCTCTTTTTCTGTATTATATGAAAGCATTTATCTAATTTGGCAAAATACACCTTGAATGAAGTATCAGTAAAACTACAGGGGGAGGGGACGGGATGAGGAGGAGGGAGGGTCTAGCTAGCCTCCGCTTTGTTTGACAATACTTCGAATGTCAATAAGAAGTGTCGTCACCGAACATCGCTTAGAGCACCTCAGAGCATAACGCCTACTGACCGAATTATTTTAAATCGAATATTTATCGCACACCACTCATCCACTTACTGACGACAAAAGATTACGTTGTTGGCTATACATAAACTAAAGGAGTTTGACATAGAAAAGTATGGAACAAAAAATTTGGAAGCCCACATAAAAGTCGAAATTTGGGTGAGGTCATGCTCCCATTGCACCAGCAGCAGAAAAAAACACGATTAACCCTATGTATTTTTTAGCGGCCTCTGCCGGTGATGTTTCAGATTGCAACCAATTTTTACAAGAGTGCTCGTGGTCTTGCTCGTGCTCGAACACAAGCTCATGGTACACGACCACACTGAGACTTTCAACACACCAGAGAAAGCATCACACAACATGGTGGAAAGTCATGTAAACTCGCACTGAAACGTTACAATAATAGGCTACTTTTATCAGCTTGACCTTGAACTAATGCTCCATGCTCATACCATAATGTTACATTTGTGGTGTTATCTAGCATAAGGCATTTCAAGGCATGTTATCTAGCATAAGTGTGATGGCCGACCACGTGGCCACACAGGAAGGCGGTAACTAACATGCAAAAGCACATCTTTTTCTTTTGTTTGCTTATGTTATTTTGGCTACCTATTAGTACATCACATTTAATGTTATGTTACAGATCACTTTATAAACCATTCATAATAATGACAGACACAGATTTGGTTCATTATATTCACTTTACTTATCATTTACACTTGTACCATTTATGGCTGGGTTGGGTGCACACTTTCTAGTAGTCAATGGTATATTGTGTTAATGGTTTTTTTCTTTGAGTTTAAGTTACCTGCATGTGGAGAGTGGAGGTTTGGGGGCAGCCTGGGACGCGGAGCTCTGGTGGAGGTCCATTCCATTAAAGGACTGGATGGTGTCAGTGGCTGCCATTTTGTGCTGTTGGGTTAATCCATGTTGCCAATTAGCAGGGGGGGGGGTATGATTGATTACGTTAGTTTTGTTTATTCTATTTACAGATTACGTGTTTATTTTCTATTATAATTAATTGAGTAAGTTTATTTTTTGACCTTTATTGATAATTTGAGTTGATTACATTTTATTCATTGTAATTGTTAAGTGATGATTGAGTTGTCCCCTGTGTGTGTTTAATGGACTAGTCCTTTGTGTATATAAGTTCCCCATGTGTGTCATTAAGGAGGTCATGTTGGTTTGGTTGGTTTGATTTGATTTCTATTGAGTTGGGTTCTGTTCAGTTGACCCTTTTTTGTTATGGGCCCAGACCTGACTTTATTTTGTAACTTTATTTTTTGTATTTAATAAATCATTTTTTTTGATTGGAAATCCTGTGTCCTTTCCCCTTGACTGCTTGGTCCCTCACAATAAGATACACCAATAGACTAACTATTTTACAATCAGCAATATCAACATAGGTGAATGTATAATATGGTAACGAAAACGGTTCGTGAACTAGACTGAACAATTTCAGAGTAACAGTAAGATCGTAGGAAGGAACATTACTGTACTGAACGTGTCTGGAAATGTGTATTATAAACAATATGATAGTAGTGGGATGAGTGACGTTAGACAGTAGATCTAGTACATAAAATAAAAGTTACATCCTAAAGCACCTACTTTTTGTTATCAAGGAACAGTCTTTTGTATTAATTTCATGTCTCATATGTTGTAGTTTACCTTGCTATTTCATTAGTTTACCATTATTTCAGTATATCTGAAAACTTGTAATTTATCACAATAAAAATAGCAGAGGTCTCTCCATTATTAAAACGCTCTGCCGATGTTGATCCGTGTTTTCGTCCTAAATCGATGCGATTCACGTTTGGCCTGATGAGGTTCAGCAGATACATTTTTGTTTTTTATATTTATGTTTTATATTTATGTATTGGTGTTATCAGACTCCATGTCGTACTCTGCAGTGCCGTCGCATAGACTGTACATAAAAAGGAGAGAGGCTCGGGAGCGCGCATACACGTCACATCCAATGGATTTTGCAGAAAATCCGACCCGGAGACTTCAGGAAATAGGAACACTGGCCTTCAGAGGTAATAGCAAAACCTGACAAGTGGATCATTGTAATGTGTGTAATTACAACCACTTCACACACAGGCAATAAAAAAAGGATTCATTTTAGGAGAAAAATTACATATAGCACCTTTAAATGACTGTGAATGCAGCCTCGTTTCGTCTCTCTCTTCATAATGTGTGCGGGCGTCTAAAAAGAAGTAGCGCGTTTAAGGTTGAGAACATCTCAATCAAGGAAGAAGGCATTTACCTCTGCCGGAGACACCCACGCATGCAATCACAGACACGTGATTTAATCTGTAGCCACAGAGAAAGCAGCACGAGCCACCTGTTTGTTTGATATGCTGTCTCAATATATTCTTCTAAATCCACGGTTAAAATGTTGGCATCCAACTTATGTGTGTAATGTAAATATTATTATTCTGCTTTTATTGTCAAAACTGTTCTTACAAACATGCATTTAAATGAATGTTAAAACATGCACACATTGGTTGGTGTTATTCTGTGTGAGCAGTGAAGTCCATGCCCATGCCTGTGCTCCACATATTCGGCTCTGGTAATTTAGCTCAGCAGATGCTCTACTGAGAATATTCAACATAAATCAGTGGTCACAAGAGAGCCACAAATATAGAAACACTTCAACTGTGGTGTCTTCACAAAATTTGTGTGAGGGACAGATATCAGTGAATATTATGAAAATGAAAAGACAAGGGGGGGAAAGGAGGATTGGAAAAAAAATAAAATATGAATTGGTGGCAGAAACAATAAGGATACCTGAGCAGCAACTTTTGGTGCATTATGACAGGTATTGCTTACAATGCTTTTCTTTTTTTCTCATGTTGGCAGCAAAAATCTGAGATCACTTTATTTTGTATTCGTTTCTAAATTAAAACTATTTTATTTGGAAATTCTTTTATCAGGGTTAAATTTGACTTTTGATTCAATTACGTTTGTTTTGTTTTTTAATCAAAAGGAGTTCATATAAACAGAAATTATTGGTGACCTAGAAATAACGTCAACAATTTTCATATATTTATTTTGCCATAACTTTTTCAGTAGTTTTACGTTTTTTTTAAAATTCTTTCACGGTGTCTCAAACTTTAGAACCCCCTGTACGTTTGTAATAACATTTGTGGTATGTTGAAAAACCATACATTAAATGTTTTTCAAAACACCGCTTTATACAGTAGTTCTTTGTAAATTGTAAAGTTGTTGTGTGTAAAGTATGAAAGAAGGTCTTACGGGGTTGGGGGTGAGTAATTAATGACTTAATTTTCATTTTTGGGTGAACAAACCCTTTAAATGCAGAAAAATGTCTTTGGAGCAAAACACATTTTGGCATGTAACTGTGAAATATCAACGCATTCTCATCCTAGGGCGTCATCTAACTGACGCAATACAACACGCTTCGGTTATGGGTAGGTTTAGGTCTGAGGTAGTGTTAGGGTCAGACCACTAGGAGGCGCCTTCTGGCCCATATATATCTGCGTCTCATATAAATGCTAAAGGGTGCCATGTGCGTCGGATTTAGACGAAATGTCAAAAGCGTCAGTTAGATGACGCGTTGGGATGAGACCGGGCAGGAAATATATATATTTGAAATATTACTTGCCAAAAATTTGCTATTTTTGGCAGTTTTCTGAAAGTTTGAATATGAAAATCGGTCTTAGAATTTGTGCTACTAAAAAAAAAAATCTACACAGCTTGAAATAATAACATTATGAATTGCATCCCTTGATGTATGCTCTACATAATTCTGCACTTGTCCGTCTGTCTGTTACCGTGTAGTTTGGAAGGTCACCCTAAATCAAGAAGAGCAGCTGAAGACAACCGCCGCTGGATTCCACTATGATTTTGATGCACTGCAGCCTCTCCGACTGACGGGTTTTCTCGACAGCAAGCTGGCAAAGAGCAACCAAGCTCACACAGGTGGGCCAGCAGCATCCGAGAGATTATAGATTTGGAAATTACAGAACAACAGCAGGTCAGGGCACATTGCCTTTTTGTAATCCTAGTTTTCCACCTCACCAATTCCGTTAAGAGCTGTCAGCGTGAAATTGGCAGGCGAGTCCTGCGACGCAACACATGTTCGCATGCACTCGACTGATCACATGCTCCTCTAGCTGCTAGAAAAATGCAGTATTAGAGAAGAAAATCTGATGGAGTGATGGCTTTTTTTTGTTTGCCTTTTTCTATAATCCAGCTCCTTGGCTCTCAAATCCCTTTTTTGTTCTTGAGCCATTAGATTCTTTTAATCGTCTTTGTTGCCATCTTTTACTCCATTTTTTTAATTTGGTTCCTTTGTATCATCCACTGACCTGGAAAGTCAAGTGCTCAACTTATCAAACTATGATGTAGAATATTCTAAAGTGCTCAGTTAGACTGGAATGTTCAAACCCCACTGCTGTTTTCCAGACAGTTGCAAATTGAAGCGAAGGGGAGGAAGTGAAGTTCCTCAAAGAATAGTTTTCATTGAAGATATCATAAAGATCAAGGATCAAGACAAATGCGGTGACATGTCTCTGCACTTTCCAGGATACTCGACTACAGATAAATGAATGAGATGGAAAGAGTTTAGAGTGTTGTATTATATAAAGCTATTGAAGATGTCTGCAAAAGAACTTCATTACAAGTCTGTGAGAAAACTCCACCCTTTTCCTCCTCTGGCTGTGAAGTTCAGCACGGTGGCTCGGTAGACAGAGCGTACGGACGTGGTCAAACCGAATTACAGCGACAATCTTGGACTCATAGAGGACTGTAATGGAACAGACACGGATGACAGCCTAGCTTGTCTGGCACTGAGATGTCAAAACCGCAGAGAGGGCTATTCTTTCAACTGTCACTGCAAGGAGAATAGAGCAGATCACACACACGCCTACAAGCAGACTGATTTTTTTTTTAGAGGCGAAAGACTGGTGTTTGTTTGAACCGTGGCAGTTCAGAAGCGTGAAAGAGAGAGCTGGAGGAGATCCCATGGTGTAGGGGGAAGGGACTGAAAATAAAGAGCGGTAAAAGGCTCCACGGCAGCGGTGACACTTTAAAAGAGAAGGCTGACAGACGGCGGATCAGCAGTGGTAGTTCACGGGCGAACAGTTTTGTGAGATTCACACACTTTTGGATTTAAAGCTTGTGTCGCTCAGTACGGCAAGTAGTACTGAGTCCAGGTTGGGCACGGTGGCAGGGGCCGGTTTATGGCAGTGGGGCGGGCGCATGCCGTCTGTGGCTCCGCAGCGAGAGGGACGCTTGGGCTGGGGATGGGCCACATGGGCACGAACTCCAAGGACGGGTGAGCTGAGGCCCTGGGCGCCCGTTGGAGCTGTGGCGGCAGGAGAACGCGGGGGCATGCGTTGCTCCCTGCGCTTCTGTGTGGTCTTGGGATCCCTGGCCCTCCTGTTCCTCACCTCGCTCTTCTTCTCCTTCTCCCTGAGAGGAGGAGCCGGGCTGCCTTACTTTGAACCCCCGGGATGGGAAGAGTCGCGCAGGGTTAAGCTAGTTCCCAGCTATGCTGGTTCCCACCGAGTGATCCCAGCTGAGAGCGCTCAGCAGAAGACATGTGCCTGCTCTCGGTGTGTGGGCGACCCAGGCGTTTCCGACTGGTTCGACGAGAACTACGACCCAGACATCTCGCCTGTGTGGATTCGGGACAACATCCAGCTGCCTTCAGACGTGTACTACTGGTGGGTGGTAAGTGATCTTACAGTTACTCAGTTGCAGCTTTTATATTAGGAATCCATTCCCTTGACATGGTTCGACTTTGTTGTGGTTCGATTTCGTGAAATGCTTTTGACCTCGTGCAATAAGTAAATGGCAAAAACAAAATGAAATGATGGCAAAACAGTCTGCAAAACTTCCAGTGTCCTTAATTAAGGGACCTATTTTATTGTGCTTTTTTCCTTTTTAATGAGAGATGTTAGCGGTCTGCACTTGTGCTTATGCATCATGTTTAAATGACACGAAGCCAAGAGAACATGAGTAATGTCTGAAAAAAGTGTGTCAGCTGAAAAATGTTAGTCTGTAATACTTGTGCTGGGTAAATTATAAGCAGGGAGGGTGGAGGACTGCATTAAGAAACAGAAAGATTTGGGGGTGAGGGTTGGGAAAATGCCTGCGCTTATGGAAACTACAGAATTTTGCACTTCAAAAACATGCTGTCACAATGCTGTTCTAGGTGTGTGCTTACTGGTAATTAGAAATAGCCCTGTAAAAAAAAGTCCACATGTGGGGAAAATCAAGCTTGTAATGTTGTTTAAATGTGAGTATATATATAGATTCTGCTTTACATTTAAAGATGCAAATATACTGTATCTTAAATTAATATATACTCTATACTGGTTAAAATTGTGGGGGTTTGTGATATTTTGTAAAATGTTTTTGAAAAAAAGTCTTTATTGCTTACCAAGGATGGATTTATTTGATCAAAAATACAATTAAAAAACATCTGTTGGTGACCGTGTCTCATATAAAACACAATGGCTTCCATCATGTAGATGGGTGTACCCAGAGAACATCTAATAATTATAAGCTACAATAGAGACCTGATAAACTGGGGGCAGTGAGGAGGAGAAGGAAAGGAAAGAAAACAGTGAATGAAGGGATGTCAGTAAAATACAAAAGAAACGATTTTAGGTATGGTCTTGAACGTGTTTTTAAATTTTTATTCCTCACCGCACAGGGCTTTATTGGCACAGTGGCTAATTGGCTGCCTGGATGTTTATTTTAGTATGCATGTGTGCACAGGCAGGTGTGCAGATGGCTTGAAGTTAAAAGATAACTGCCCAACCTTATGTCAGTTTCTTTCTTTCTTCCTACCTCCCTCCCTCGTCTTCCCTCTGGGATCTGTACAGATGTTGCAGCCTCAATTCAAACCCCACAACATCCAGCAAGTTCTACAGAGGCTGTTCCAGGTCATTCCAGGCCGTTCCCCATATGGTTCGTGGGACCCTGCCCGCTGTCTGCGCTGTGCCGTGGTGGGGAATTCAGGAAACCTCCGCGGGGCAGGTTACGGTCCAATGATTGATGACCACGACTCCATCATGAGGTGAGTCTTGAAATGCCACTGAAAAGGATTAGGGAAAGAAAACAGTCTTTTGAAATGAAATCTAAATACGTATTCAAGATTATGATTGGGTTTTTTTGAAACAAGATATTACAGCAACACTAAGTAAGAATTTTTACCTTAAAATAATGTTTTCAAAATCGTTTGAGTGGTTCATCAAGTCGTGACATGGTGAAATGCAGTTATGCCACTGCTTTGCTGTCCTTTGTCTGAAATAACTTCGTAATGTAAGATGTGCCAGATCGGGTCGCGTTTCTGTAGTGCAAATGAGACCTAAGAAAAACTACAAATTTGACTTGGTTTACGGCAAGCATTACAATTGCCGATAGGTGTAGCGTAGCTTACTTGACAGTAGACTGCAACTACACTTTCATAAAATCATGCATTAAACTCTACCTTGTCTGTGGCCATTGTTGATTCTAGGGCTGGTCAGTATGACGGTATAAATCGTTACCGCGGTAGAAAATGTCAATCCTAACAGATTTTTTTAATTCCGTGAGACGTGTAAATAAGTGGGCGTGGTTAACTCGTGTAACTCATTTCTAAAAGTATTTGGGTTTATTTATTATCCAAAGCCATTTTTGTCGTTTTTTTCGAGAATAACTATAAATAACTGTATTGTGAAATATATCGTTACCATGAAATAAAATTAGTCAATTAGCCCCTAGTTGATTCCATAGCCGTTGCTGGGTAAACAGAGAGCATGCGCGTGCGACAGTAGGCTGTGGTAGGCTAAATTATTTACGACAGTGGTAATGGACAATTCCGCTTCCAACCTGTAGGGTGACCGCAGAGGAAAAGTTGCTTGGTGTTGCTTTAAAAATGTTTTTTAATACTATTATCTTTCAGTTTAGTTTTTCTTTTTTTTTTTTCAGTTTCAATAATTATAGGTGAAATGTGTACTTCTATAGCAAAATTAAAGTTTTTTTTTTTCAAATGTGGTTCCTTACAACCATCATCTTCTAATGGTTGATCAAGATCATTCCTTTGCAAATTTAGATCATTGGTTGAATTTCAGCCCAAGATAAACAAACAAACCTACTAATAAATTATTAGTTATATAGAAGATTTATAATAATGATATAACATTCAAAACAATTACATAACTTTCTAAGGAATAAAATGAGGAACCAACAGAACATTGTTTGATGAAAAAAAGCCGAATCTATATATTTATCCGTATCAATATATTTATAGTTTTGTCTATTTTATAGCTTATAGCAAAGTTTTTGAATCAGGAATGTTCGCCTTACTTTTAGTATGCAATAAAAATCCTGTTTTCTGGGACAATGATCACAGCCAGATATGGTGGATTGACATTTGCAATTTCAGGTTTCAGTCGAATAAACATGGAAAAGGGCAGATTGTGCATATTGCTGCTTAAAGAAAAGACTAAAATAATGGCACTTCGGGAGACAGAACAGTGTATGCTTAGTAGAGATCAGAGAGACAGAGAGGCTGAAAGAGACGGAGGTATAAATTGATGTGCTATTTCAGTGAAGTCTTAAATTAATCCCGTCCTCCTCCGAATCCATCTATTTTTCTGCCCTACAGCAGCTGTCTCCTCGTCTCTTTATTTGTTTAACTGCTGTCTGCTCTCATTTTGACACTGTTTAAGAGATGGTTTAAGAGATGGTATGAGTTTTCTTCCCTAGTCGAATGTGTTTGTTGCTGTTTATTGGCTCATATAGTTTGAATTGTCTGAAAGGTTTTTTTAAATGGTAATTAAATTGTACTTTCCTTGAAATCAGATAGCATCCTTCACTCAAAAAAAAATATGTTGGCTTTAGTTAATTTTATTTCGTAAACAGGTTCCACATAACTGGGTTACATTAAACAAACATAATTTGTTCATGTAACTTCAACATCATGAAATGAAGTCATTTTAACCGACCCAATTTAAGTAGTCTCAACGTGATTTTTTAAAGGCTTCCTGACATGATTCAGGTATTTTTTTCAATTCATTAATCCATTAATATTTCATTTATTTTAGTGACACATATTTAAATGGATAGACTATAGCAAGCTATTTGCTAGCGGTAGCACATATTAGCATTTTAAATGCTAAGTTTTACATGCTCCATCATCCAAAGCATTAAAAAAAGAGTTAAATCAGTCGACAACCAAACAAAATGCTCCACTCTTCCCCACAATGGTAACCCACTGTAATTTAAATGGTTCTAATAACCAATGTAATTTTACATTAAACACAATTACACACTATCAAGTCTTCACCTTTTCTAAATTTCTCAAAAAAAAGATAAAATAACACTTCATTTTAACATTTATTCTCTCTTAACCATATGCAAAGCATGCTGGGAAGTAACAAGCACTGCCAAGTTTCAGTTAATGCAAAACAAATCAATCATGTAATCCAACACAAACGGATTAAGTAAACTTAAATTGTACATATATTTAAGCAGATTGAACACAATCAAATTAAGTTCGGGCAAAATGGCTGTTGGCTCGCACTATACTGCCACCCTCTGGATGTACGAAATTTTTTACTTAAAATAAATGGTTTGTGTTTAGACAACATAGGGATTTTGTACTGTTAAGTTGAGACATAATTACATAGACCTTAATAGAAAAAACATTTCAAGTCAAAAAACAATTATTATAAGTAAGCTAAATATAAATATATTATGTATTAAGTGCACAACCTTCCTAGTTCACTTTTTTGAGTGTTGTAGCATCCATGTATCACATGTTTTATATTACATCCTGGTGAATAATTCTGTATAATTATTTGTGACTTCATTGTATAATAATGTAAATTCTTACAGGTGAAAATGGGCAGGTGTGAAAACCATTGCTATGAAAAAGAAAAAAAGAATCACCAACTGTATTACTAAACGCCACAACCGAGCTATAGAATAATAAACCTTCCTTGTGGTTTCATTAATAACATCTTCATTTCAAATGAGTATTGTGGTTTCCAGTTTAAGCCCTGTGTTTATTAAAGATTGATGATATAAGAAGAAAAGCACTTGAGATTTGATTGGTAAATCATCTGCCTGGCTTTGAGTCTTAAGAAGATAAAGAGAGAAACAGGCGGACATGTACATTTGTTGTTTTGCATTAAAATCTCCAGGACTATTACATCTAAAGCTTTTTAAATTCCTGCTGCCTGAATACAAGCTTGAGATTCTACATGTTACAAAATCCTGGTGATGTAAGGTAGTTCTCTGAATTCGAGTGAATACATGTAGGATACAGATAGAGAATGAAAAATGGTTCCAGTTTTTTCTTTTCCCCTAATCGGCACATTTTTTTGAGAGGACTTGAGCTGTGACATATAAAGTCTCTTGCAGTCTGTTTCTCTTAAACGAATAGCTCGCCCAAAAATGAAAATTGTGTCATTTATTCATCCTTATTCTCAAGTCTTAAAATCAATTTGATCAAATTTAAGGCAATAAAAGTCTTAAAAATCCTAAGAGGAATAGCAATGTCTTAATTATCACAAGGTCTTAAATTTAGAGAATAACTGTGATGTGATGAGCATGAAGTGATTATTAAACTTCAAAGGTGATGATTTAATTAAATTAATGTGTGAACGCTGCAAGTCAAAATGTGGGGCTATTGCATGTTCTTCAGGTTTGCCATTTCAGAGCAGTTTTAAATCAATGAATATCACTCATTTATGCCAAAAATACCATGCTTATGATCTACTGTTGATGACTTATAACAACGTTTACATTATGACAATGTTTGCAATGAAAAGCCTATAGGGATGGCTCGATAACACAATTTTGGCTTCGGTACGATACCAGAACCACGGTACCTCGGTATCGATACTAATTCGATAACACAGTCGAAAAAATAAAATGTATAACCATGTATCTCAGCTTATTCTAAAAAAAGACTGGTTTGATGCATCGTGTTGTGACCTGCGTCATTTTCGGTAGCGCACTGCCACCTAGTGGAGAACAGCAGCGCATCAAATACCGAATTTAACAAAATTATGATATTGTACCTTTTGAAATTTATTATATACCGGTGTTTTTGCAATACCGGTATACCACGCATCCCTAAAGCCTAGACATTTCAAAATACAAATATTGTTGTTTTTGTATTATTTGTCTTGCTTTATGCATAAAATACTTTCTCTGTTATTATCATTTGTGTACTTTAGTGACGCATTAAACTGGATCTGGCATTTAAAATTTCAGTATATACATTTTACTGGTATCTGCAACAATCTTTTTAAATGCATAATAGTATCAGCAAAATCCGATATTGATTGATTTCTAATTCATTTGTATTAAGATGACATGAACCAATTTCGGTAGTAATGTACTGTATAGAATAATACCTTGGGTATTTTAAAGTTGAATGTGTGCTGCAGCTTGTTTAATTAAAATAAGCTGAGATACATGGTTATTTATGCAGGTCTTAAAAGGTCTTAAATTTATTTGATTTTAACAACTCTGCAGATGCCCTGTCATGTTTTTCTTCTTCTGTGGAACACAAAAGGAGAATTTTGAATAATGTCCTGATTGCTTTTTTCTATGCAATTACAATGAGTGGCGAGGGCTTCCAGCTGTCTGCTTTTTTTGCCGCTCGCTGTCAACCTGAATGCGCTTTCTGTTTGTTAATTTTACTCTATGATGGGGAAAATAATGAAATGCCAAAGTAATATGCTTGTTTCAGTGAAAGTGAGAGAGGATTTACTTTTCACTGTCTAATTCAGTTGGATCTGTGTGTTCCAGGATGAACCTGGCCCCCACTGTAGGGTACGAGGAGGATGCCGGCAGCCGTACCACACACCACTTCATGTACCCAGAGAGTGCCAAAAACCTGGCGGCCAACGTGAGCTTTGTGCTGGTGCCCTTCAAGACTCTCGACTTGTTGTGGATCACTAGTGCTCTCTCCACCGGCCAGATCCGCTTGTAAGCGCAATGACACAGACACGAAAAAAGCAAGATAGCCGCTGATATTATTTTTTTATTATCTTTAGTTAATTTTAATTCAATATATTTCTTTCTTTTATTTATTTTCTTCCTTTTTTCCCCTTTTTCATTTTATTTATATTTTGTAATTTTATTATGATAAAAATAGGGTAACACTTTACTTGAAGGGGTGTGCATAAGACTAACATGACACCTTCATAATCTGGACATGACATATGTTATGAATATGAAGTAAGTTTTATGCATGTTTGTGACAACTGTCATTAAGTGTCATTCGCTTAGTTATGACATTTTTAATGCAAATATGACATTGTTTGAGATGTCTTTGTTATGACACCTTGACATAAACCAATACCTGTCAGTGTCTTTGTCATGGCAACTTGACATTACTTAGACAACACAACCTGTCATAAACATGACATAGCAGATTAATTATCAAACTTAAGAAACCACCTAGCTTTATGGGTTAACATAACGTTAAACTGTCAGGTGGTTGGTTTTGACATTGAAGCCATTATAACATTTTAATGACAAATTCAATCAGTACCACTGTAGTTGAGGTCACGAAAAATATTCATGACACAGTTATAATGGCCTCATGACAGCCAATGTCAAAGCCAACCACATGAGAGTTTAACATAATGTAATGTCAAGTTATTATGACAAAGACACTGACAGGTTATGATGTTATGGTTTATGTCTAGATGTCATAACAAAGACATATTTGCTTTCAAATTGTCATTATTTAGCGAAAGACACTTAATGACAGTTGTCATAAACATGCATAAACCCTACTTCATATTCAAGACATGTCATGTCATGGTTATGAAGGTGTCATGTCAGTCTTGTTCCTTCAAGTAAAATGTTACCAAAAAAAGTCAATCTCATAAATAAATTAGTATTTCAGTTCAGTTTACAGACGCAATGTGGATTTAATTCAAATTTGGTTGTCAATTCCTGCATTTTGAGTAATGAGTTGCAGAATGCCATAGTATATAGCTGGAGCATGGCCAATGAGACATTGATTATATTCTGTCTATGAACACACTGCAGTGCTCTGTACCCATAAATTCATCATTCAAAGCACACACACACTGCCACACATCCGCACTTTATCAAAAATATTCTCCACTTCACTCAAAATCAATAGAAAGTTAGCAGCAGTTCAACTCAAGTTTTTTATGAAAAGATGAAGAGATGCCAGAAGAAGGGAAGATATATAACTTTATCTTTCCAAATCGCCCTCTCTCTCTTAGTACTTACGCTCCAGTGAAGCAGTTTCTGCGTGTGGATAAAGACAAGGTAATATATTCCCATCCTGTCTCTGAAAGATTTATATTCTCTGAATTAAGACACTCTTTAGACCCTGAACAATAGAACACTGTCAATCTCACATTGAGTCTTTATCTGTTTTCTCTGTGCTGCTATAAATTTGCATATATATCAAATAACGTCCTGTAGGTTCAGATCTTCAACCCAGCTTTCTTTAAATACATCCATGACCGATGGACACATCATCATGGGCGCTATCCCTCCACTGGCATGCTCGTCCTGTTCTTTGCTCTACATGTATGTGATGAGGTAAGACCTTAGGGGGGCATGATAAACAAACGCACACACACACACACACACACACACACACACTTTATTTGGTACACTTTCTAGTATCGGGTTGGACCCCCTTTTGCCTTTAGAACTGCCTAAATTCATCATGGCACAGATTCAACAAGGTTCTGGAAATATTCCTCAGAGATTTTGCTCCATATTGACATGAACATCACACAGTTGCTGCAGATTTGTCAGCTTCACATTCCAAAGCTGCTCTATTGGATTGAGTTCACTATACTCAAATGGCTTTCCACAGTCACCAGATCTCAATGTCATGTTCAATAAATCAGTTTGAGATGATCTGAGCTTTGTGACATGTCACATTATTCAGCTGCAATGGATATTACAGTATCCATTGGTGTTGGTGTGGTGTTTAATCAATGCTCAATTGCCAAGAAAATATTCTCCACACCATTACACCACCAGCACAAGCTTTAACTGTTGATACAAGGCAGGATGGATCCTTTCATGTTGCTTACACCAAATATTTAGCCTGACTTCGTCATACTCATATTCTAGCCAGAATATGAGTCTGAAACTGCTTCATTGGGCTTTGATTATGAGGCGTGTCTTAACTGAGCCAGGAAAAAAAAAAACTCTGCACTCAATTGGATAGTCGGTTGACCTACAACCAATCAGAGCAACGCAGTAAGGCAACTACTTTGCATTTCTTAGTTGTCAACAAAAGAACTTACTTATTTTAGAAGTGAAATAACAAGTGTTGCTAGTTCTTTTACTTGGTCCTCCATGAGTGCGACCAAAGGAGAAACCACAATGACCACAAGCTTTTCATTACGTTCCATCTTCTTAGCGATGGATGAATGGATGAAAAATAAATTTTTAGTATAAAACAAATTATCTACGAAATCAGTTACAAGTAAACTGTGCTGCGGAAATTCTGTATCACAGCAACGAAACGTCTCAAATGGAAAAAACGCTACGCTGCCAAAACGCTCTCAAGCGCACGGCGTCTTCAGCAGAGGGTCTGGCGTTTTCAGCTGGATAAAAACGCTTTAGTGGACACACGGCCTAAATGCTGTGAGTTGCTGCCATGTGATTGGCTGATTAGATATTGGTGTCAACGGGCATTTGAACTGGTGTCCCGAAGAAACTGGCTTGTGTGTGTGGTACACTACGATTCAAACGTTTTTGAAAAGAAGTCTCTTATGCCCACAAAAATATACTAATATTGTGAAATATTATTACAACTTTTCTTTGACTAAGTTTTCTATTTGAAAACTATTTAACGTTTTATTTACATTTCCAAGCATTCAGTGACTGTAAATTAATTTCTGCCTCTTGACTCCATAGGTGAATGTATTTGGTTTTGGGGCGGACAGTCGGGGAAACTGGCACCACTATTGGGAGCAGAACCGCTATTCTGGAGAGTTTCGTAAAACAGGTGTCCATGATGCAGACTACGAGGCCCAGATCATCGACAAGCTGGCCAAGGCTGGCAAAATCTCAGTGTTTCCTGGAAAGTGAATCTGGGCACCAGGTGCAAAGAAATGGACCAACTGATGGACTAACCATAAACAAAACCACCCATTATCCACTTGACACAACTAGTGTGCCTGTTAAACGTGATCAAGAAGTAGTTTCATGATCTTTTTATCATTCTGTGCTGTCCTGAAGGGTCAGGAGTCTGGACAGTGTCCCCCATAATGTGGTGGTTTTGAGAGGAGATGCTAGTAAATGTGCGTTTCCTTGCAAGCATACCTCAACTGGGACAAGGAACTTGACTTGGAAAGGAACACTAATATCTCACCACTAAACAGCATGTTAGGTATATGTGCTGGGAATGGAATAAACTCATATTTATGACTTTTGTTGAATAGTGACGATACGAGAACTCTCTCCGATGTGTGCTCACGCCGAGGCCTGATAGATGAGTGAGAAATACTATCACTATAGTGTATCATAGTACTCTAGTAGTTCTCTGTGATTCATTGAAGGGGCAGTTCAAAAAAAGAAATTCTGTCATCACTCTCCCTCATATCGTTCCAAACCTGTATGATATATATATATACTTTAACTATTAATATATATATAAAAAAACTGTTGTCAATGAAAGTCAATGGGGCCCAAAGTTGTTTTGCACCATTGAATTTGAAGAAGAAAAAATGCCACAGAGACATTTATCAAAACATCCCCATTTGTGTTTCTTAGAAGAAAAAGTTGGACAGGTTTAGAATGACTTGAGGCTGAGGAAATCATAGAATTAATTTTTTTTAGGAGAACTATCCCTTTAACTAAAAGCTTGGACATAATGGCGGGTCGCTTCACTATTCCTCACGTCATCGGGCATAAACCAAGCTTTACACTGTCTTATAAGATATTTTATGTTTAGTTGTTCATGTTTAAAATGATCCTGCTAACAGTTTGCCATCACTGTGTGCTTGCATCAGTCAGAACAACTTTGCTTTTTGGTTCGTTTTTTGTTTTTGCTAATTACATCTGAGTACTGATCGTTCTTCTGGTCTGAGGAGGATGGACAGATCCTATAAAACCAGATACGACTGACGCAGTCCAGTATGAACACATATGAGCAATATTCAGAACACGTGGAGTACATTTAGAAATCAACGCTAATAAAGCTGTGGTGATTGTTCTCGAGATGCACTGTGAACGGTAGTAGCGCTTCGTTGTTGATCTACAGCACTTAAATCTAACCTACTGAAATAGTGTTAAATGATGGAAAGGAACTGCAAAATGCATTGAGAGAAATAAAACATAAGCTTTCATTTATGAAGCCTGATGAATTTGCGATACAATTGAAAGGGTTAGTTCACCCAAAAATGAAAATTAAGTCATTAATAATTACTCACCCCAATGCTGTACCAACCCTGTAAGACCTTCGTTCATCTTCGGAACACAAATGAAGATATTTTTTATTAAATTGGAGGTGGAGGTGGATCACTGCTACATAGGTTGCCTAAGGGATCGAAACTTGACGGCCCAGAAAGTCATTGTGACTACAGTGGCTCAACTATAATGGTGTGTTCACACTGAACGCAAATTTAATTATTTGCGCAAGTAGATTACATACAAAGTCAATGCAAAGACGAGAATAGACGCATCATTCGCCGGGCGTTGTGAATTGGGCGACGCGTTTGCCGCTAATGTCTTCCGCGTTGAAGTTGAAAAATTTGAACTCGAGCGAATGTTCGAGCGTCTAACTAGATGTGTCTATTTGACGCTCTATTCGCATTCACTCGCATTCATTTCTTGTATGCCTTGAGACGAGAATTCAAGAGATTTCCACAAGCATGCGTGAGAACTGCGATCTCCTGCGAACTACTTAAGTTCATTTCTGAAATCTCTTGAACTCTGTGAGGCCCAAAAGGAAGAAAAGGAATAGTCAAATAAAGTCGTTATTTTTGTTTGTTTTTTCGCACAAATGTATTCTCGTCACTTGATAAACTTATCGTTGAGCCACTGTAGTCACATGGAATATTTAAACAATTTTTTCATTGACATTGACTTTCTGGGCCGTCAAGTTTCAATCCCTTAGGCCTATGTGGTAGTGATCCACCTCTCAAATGTAATCAAAAATATCTTCATTTGTGTTCCGAAGACGAACAAAAGTCTTAAGGGGTTGGTACAGCATGGGGGTGAGTAATTACTGACTTAATTTTCATTTTTGGGTGAACTAACCCTATAAAACTGGCTGACAGATTCGTAAAATTGATGGATCTCATTGACAAATGATTTCTTGAAAGCATGTAGACACTCCTTTGCTGCTGTTCAGTCATTTACCATAAAAATAGGTGATTTGTTTATTTGTACAGTTTTTCTTTCTTATACATTTTTAAGACAAAGGATAACGAGAAAGATCCATGTGAAGGCCAAGTGTTTTCTACGGAGGCCCTAAGGAAAATGTTTATTTGGGGGGGTGGGGAGATGAGCTCGGAGGATAAGTATTTCAATACTTTTGTTTGCACAATGTTTGCGTTCTCCTGGGAAACTTTGTATTCACGCTCAAAACTTTTGATGTCTTTGTGAGCAAACACAAAGGGATGCAGAGGTTTTGCGAGTGAAAGCAAAAGTCTCGCGAGAGATGCAAGTCAATGCATGGTTTCGGGGGAACGTAAAACATTATGAGAACGCAGAAAGAAAGAAATATGATATATTTTAACCCCCCCTCCCCCCTCCCCTTTGGAGGTCCGTAGCTTTCTGTTTAGGCCTAGTCCAAGTTTTGACTTTCAGGTGCAGTAGTTCTTTTTCAAAATGTAGACATATCAGCTATTTCAGTGTGCAAATGCACATATGTTACATGCTTGGGTGCCTTGTCCTCGCTTCTGGACACATCCTCTCTCCAGAGCACCGTAAACCTCATTATAAGACGCATAAACACGTTATTGTTCCTTTAGACTTCTTACAGAGCATTTATTGACACACCTTCGCACACGCACAAATCTGGGCTCTAAAATAGGGCACGGATTCTATACCACCAGCTGTCCTGGCTCCACCCACACATGATTCGCGGCTTCTCCTGTGCGCCACCATCTCATCCTCTTGTCTGTTGTACTTTAAGCTGAGTGCCGTGCCTTCGGGATCAGGGTGGGAAAAGCTCTCTCACCTGAAAACTTTCTCCCCACTTCATTTTTTAAAGAGCTACCTACCTGCATCCGCTTTCACGTCAGAAAAGTCCTCAGAACCTTTAGAAAATTTAGACTTGTGGCACACAAGTGCTTTTATACATTGTCAATAAAGTGTAATCTTCTTTTGGCGACTATAAACCGGCGAACATTAAATGTACAGTGCTGCAGTGGCTTTATTATATTTGACCTATTCTGAGGGATTATTATAAGGCATTTTACAGTGAAATTCAAATATCACGGACACGTAGGATGGCTGCCTAATACATAGGTAGAATATTGAGACGTGCAGTTGGTCACCAAAGACGTATTTGACACCAATTACTTATCCTGAATTTTTTTATGTGTTGTTCAGAAAATTGTGATTTAGAAAAATGCTGGCTTGTGAAGTTCTTGTATTGCTCTTAACAGTATTCAGTAATCCTATGGTTATAGTGGGCTATGAGGGATGTTTCTCTTCTTGTTTTTGTGCCACATCGTAGCCTGCCGAATGATATTCAGGCAAACCTCAAACAATTTCTGAAAGATTACATTATGTCCACCTTCTCCGTTCTCTCTATTTGAAATGTTCTGTCTGTGGCCAAATTGCATGACGAGAACAATTCGAAATTGGCTTGTTCTCTTTATGCTCTTGCCAATGTTATAAGCACTAACTTATTGGTCTTTGTGGATCCTTATTGTCACACTGAGAGAGCTTTTTAGGACTTCATATCATCTGTTTACAGGATTAAATGATGCAAAGTTGTCTGGCTGGTAAAAATGATATGAATATTAGGCTTACACAGCCTGTAAAGACTTAAAATAGTTGTACACTTTTGAAAAAACTTTTGCTGAAAATTTACTCACCCCCGATGTCATCCAAGATGTCCATGTCATTCTTTTTTCAGTGGAAAAGAAATAAGGTTTTTGATGAAAACATTCCAGCATTTTTCTCCATATAATGCACTTCAGTGGGAACCAAACGGTTCAAGGTCCAAAAGACACTTCCAGGCTATGTTTACACGGAAACGATTCTGAAGAGAAAACGCAAAAGTGGCGTTTGCAATTGGCGTTGTCGTGACTTTTTTATTCTGCGTTTAGACGAGCGTTTTGGGTGGGAAATCCGCGTGCATATGACGCAAAGTGTGTGAAATTCAATAGTATGCACTCCAGGCGGCTAGGAGTGCAAACTCCAACAACACCAAGTCCGCGCTCAAGCAAGCAGACTTTGCGTTTTTACGGTTTACACGGGAACGCGGCCGTGGAGCGTTTTTAAGATTTCCACTCTTGAGGGTGGTTTCACTTTTTTGTGTTTTTAAGCCCCAAAAACGCCGTCGCCGTGTAAACGAAAGGCACATCCGATAAAATATTTTTACGTTTTCACCCGCGAGCGTTCTCGTGTAAACAGGGCCTCAGTAGGCTACAAACTGCAGTTCAAAGCGCTTTAAACGATTCCAGACGACGAATAAGGGTCTTATAAAGCAAAACGATCGCTCGTTTAATAAATAAATAACAAAGTTTAAGTTTTATAAGCTCAAATGGTCGCCTTGCTCTGTACTGCGATGCACGTTCGTGACTCTCCTGTTCAAACTCGTTCATCAAAATGAACGAATCTTTTTCCGAGTCAATTGGTTCATTCAACGAACGAAACGAACGAATTGACTCAGAAAAAGATTTGTTCAATTTGATGTACAATTTCAAAAAGAAGAGTCACGAACACGCATCGCAGTACAGAGCAAGATGACCATTTGAGCTTATAAAACTTAAACTTTGTTATTTATTTATTAAATGAGTGATCGTTTCACTTGATAAGACCCTTATTCATCGTCTGGAATCGTTTAAAGCCCTTTAAAGGAAACCACCCAAACAGATCAGTTTACACTGTTCAGTTTACACTGACTGAAACTGTCTTGGGCCTTGATCTGTTTGGGTACCAGTAAAGTGCATCAAATGGAGAAAAATGCTGTAATATTTTCATCAAAAACATTAATTTCTTTTCAACTGAAGAAAGAATGACATGTACATCTTGGATGACATGGGGGTTAGTAAATTATCAGCAAAAGTTTTTTGAAAAGTGAACTACTCCTTTAAGTTTTCCACAATCAAACACATGATCGTGCCTCCAGGATAGATGTTGAGTGAGGAAGGCAGGTTCATTTAGTTTTCTTGACATTTTTGCAAGGCTTTATGGTAGATTCCCCTTTTTATTTGAATGAATAATTAAAATGGCAGCAAAACTGAGGTGAAGTTAAAAATGAGGCTACAGTATTTAGATCAATAGTCAATTTGAGCAGAACACACTCCACTATAATGCTGAATCCAGTTCTTCATTTGAAGGAACCCTTCAACAGACTGTACATATCCTCACTGTGCCACTGTGTTTGCTTTCATTAACTTCTCATTAGTGCTGAGAGTGTCTTTTGGTCAGTGTTTTTTTTTTCCTTTCACAACCACAGTCTTTGTGTAGTTATGGACTGTTTTTAATCTTTATGCTACTGTAAGAAATAAACATTTAAAAATGGTTTCTTTGTGTGCTTGGACATTTATTTGCAAGCAAACGATTATTTGATGCAGTACGTTTTCATTACAATCTCAGTCTTAAACTCTTGATTTGATTGAAATCAAAGTTTATGCACTTTTATTAGAATATGTATTTATTTATCATTTTTCATCTATGTCCCAGTGTGCTATGAAACTTCCTACATGGAAAAACAACATGTAAAAATGTCCAAAGCAGGTGTTTCATTTTATTCTGTTAAAATGTTAAATGTTTTCTTCATGCCCTCAATATCATGGTCCATCTGGTTATTCTTTTTTAATATTGATTAAAAACCGCACAAACATCAGTAATGAATACTGGATTTGTTGAATTCTGGGATGTGTGGGATCAACACTGTAAAAAAAAGTAACTGTAATTACATTAAATTGATCTTAATATATACAATATATAATACTAATATTGTATAACTTATAAAAAGTTGAAAATTGCTTAACTTATTATACTTAATGTACAAAAGATGTTATAACTTCTGATAGTTAAACTTCACATTGAATCCCTTAAGCAATGAATTACTTTAGACATTTTCACTCTTTTGCCTTTAAAGTTAGTGTGTCTGAGCTTGACTGGAGCATATGCCTTGAAAGTCTGGTACACCTATTCATAGAAATAGCAAAAAATCATATTCTATTTCAAATTTTAAGAGTTCAGAATAACAAAAATGATCGTCAGGTTTTCAAAATACGTTGGTATGGTTGAGCAGCAGCTGTGCAAGAGTGGTATTATGAAAAGTAGGGATGAATTTGGTGAATTATTGATACATGTAATTACTTTTAGATGGATGGATCGAAGGCCTTATTGTAAAACTCCCCAAGAAATGTGTTCTTTAGAGTTGAGACAATTGGAGTGGCAATTGCTTTCAGTCCCATTAAAAGTTCTTCTATAAAGAAATGACAGGCTTTAAACTCAGACAAGAACAAGCCAGATTCAGAAATACAGACCAGGGTCCGTATTCATAAAGATTCTAAGAATCCTCTCAGAAAACTCTTAATTTAGCTTAAAAAAAAACAATCTTTTGAAGACTCTGATTGGTTGGTTGTCCAAGAAGGGGGAAAAAAAAGTGATTTTAAGTATTGGATCTATTCCAAGCATGCAAATTTTTTCTGGAAATCTGGAGGTCTGGAAATCTAAGCCATGCAGCACCACCACAAAGTTACGCTTGTACAGCTTTATCATATATTGTATATTCTGGCCTATGAAAATCATCAATGAACTGTAAAAGGAGAACAAAGAGTCAAGTGATATTGAGCCGTCCGATGGCTTGGGCATGTTCTCAGAATTGACCAGGCAGGCCCAAATCCCAGACTTGCCTGAGATGGACACCACCTGGCAGAAGAAAACAAGGGCGATCTAAAACGTCAAGGAGACGGAAAGCGATGGCAGAATTAAAGGAAATGGGTCTGACATGGGGCAAGGCGCAATACACCACAAACAATCAAGCCAAAAGTTGACTTGTGTCTAACTCAGGACGAACGGGAGTAAGTAAGTGTGCTGAAATAATCATAAGCAGTAGCTTTAATCACAATCCCATTCAAATAAACACCACTCCACTGGATTCATTAATGCATTTGAAATCATTGCATTTTTATTACTGTTCACTAGTGATACATTTCATGTGACTGATGATGAATGACTCATTTCCCCGAAACAGAAGCTATAAGATCTATTGAAAGGTTAACAGTGTTGGCATGAATTTGTCTGAAATATGAAGACATCCATCCAGTTAAAGAGACAGACCACCAATTCTACAAATGTAATGAAAATCTTAGAGAGAAAAAAAAAGACACCTTCTAATAGAATGATGACATGAGGATGATTTTAGCTAGCAACATTGAACTGTCAATCTAAATGTAATTATCCAATCAGAAAACATGCACAGCCCCATGTGCTTTGGAGTCAGGACGGATTGATGGATCAGTTGATATATGCGTGTGGTCCAGCAGTTACCTAGTTAACTGAGAGAGGATGCTAATTATTTCCTTTACCATCCATAATTGACAAATTACACATTCTGTACAGTTTTTACATTTACCAGCCGGGAATGTCCAATTTGTAAATTCAGCAAGCATAGCTGGAACAGGACAGGAGGAAGGTTAAGACCAAAATAAGGACAACTTTTCAGATTAAACTCTACCTTCACAACGCTATCTATTTGTCCTTAATTTTCACCCAGTTTGAGGTGGGCAAACTGATTGGCCAGCTGCAGAGCCTCCTTTATGCAGTGCGTGTTTCTACCCGTGGCCTGGGCTGACATGTCTTTACCGCCTCCTTTTCCATCCAGAAGAGGGCACACTTCCTGAACCCACTCGTTGGCCTTCAGGCCCCGGTTTGCAACATCCTGGAAACACCCAAAGAGCAAATTGGTGCTTTTAAATTGATACTTTACACATGCATTAATGTGTTACTTTAGTCACATGCAAGTTAAAATAATACTTAACGAGCATTAAATGTCAAAGTGAACACAAAATGGCATTTGAAACCCATTTTACTTCTGAGGTCAGCTAAAAAGCCAGCTATTACATTTCACTGAACATAATGTACTACGCACTAATGAATCATTCAAAATAAGACTAGCAATGTGTATTAAGAAAATAGACTACTGATCAAAAGTTTGAGTTCGGTAAGAATTTTTTTCTTTATGCACATACAGGATGTATTTATTTGATGGAAAAAAAAATCAATTTATTGTGTCCTTGCTGAATAAAAATATTGATTTCTTTCAAAACAAAAAGAAATCCTGAGCTTTAAAGTAGATCTTGATAAATATTTAAAAAGAAACCTAAGCCAGCTCACAGAATAAGTTTCTCTCTGACCCCGTTTACCTGAGGAACTTGGCACAAGCAGATGATTTTTCCTGCATCGTTGTCCACAGCAAAAAGCATAGCAGCAGTCTGTGGTGAATTTGTCTTCAGTAACTTCAAAGACTCATTCAAAGCCTGTGGAAGCACGGAGAAATCATTTAGACGTTCACTTAAGCCTACTTAAAAACTGCATTCATTTCAACTATAGATCCCAATTTTGAAAAAACAGTGAGACTTGCACCTTTGCAGACGCTCCACTCTCCATCTCCATCACAATTAGAGGTTGGTTAGGTTTGCTGTCGATGATCTCTTTAGTCTTTTCCAGGACCTAAAAATTAACCATGTTTTCACAGCTGGTCTCAATAATCTCGGTGACTAACCAACCAATATCTGAAACATGTTTTCTTACCCTCTTCTGTACATCAGCCTTGCTGGCACGGTCCAGGTCATCCATGATCTTTTTAAGCCCTTTCAGTGAATCCCTCATCTCATCCTTCTGCCACTGAGAGATCACTGCAGTGCCCAGGGACTGAATATATATATATATATATATATATATATGCATAAATTCAGTACACTTAAAAAAAGGTTTATACAATACAAGCAAGAGCAGAAGATGTTTGAGTTGAACTCACCTCTGTCATATCAGCAATCTCCTTCTGAACGTCTTTATTTGGGGAGGTCTGAGCCTTCACTTTCTCTGCCATGGCATCTAGACCTGACTTCAGGGCATCAGCTTTCCTCTGGGCCTGACAACACAAACATCCACATCTCATACACTATAAGGAATGGGAATCATAAGGAACTTCTTTATTCTGCTTCCTAAATGAGTCAATAATTGGTCCTAAAAATATACTATACTAAAAATGATTTAAATGTTTGTTGTTGTTTTTTTTTTTACAAACCACTGTTCTGATTGTGTATTTACACATTACTATATGAAATACCAGTCAATAATTATATTGATTTAACTGACTACACCAACCACACTGTGCGTGCAAACAAAAAAAAATATATATAAATGAAAAAAAGACAAGTGACATTTAATCTTTGAATTATCTCAGGTCTTCCTTTCAAAGCACATTCAAATCATACAGCAAGAACCGGTTTTAGATTCCCCAGCCTCAATGTTGTGCCTGAACTCGTTCATTGAACGATAATTCATGAATTCGTTCATATTTTGGGCATTCCATCCTCTGAAGTAGCATATTTTTAACTGAACATACTGTATTACTGCCTGATGAACGTTACTGTGAACTCGTTCATTCTGGTGTCTGTGAACGCACGCTCTCTCAGTTCAACTTTGTTCAGTCGGGCGTCAGATTTCAATAGAGAAAACCCCGGCTAAAACACACGTAAACAGGTCTTAATATGTAGCAAAAAAAAAAAAACACCCAATCTGGCAACAACAGCCACCAGTGTGGCACCGCGGCTACCGCATCAAGACAAGAGCATGTAGTCGACAAACCATAGAGGAGGCGTTGTTTGATATGATCAGTTTAAAACTTTTAAGGTTGGTGAAGATGGAAAAAAATTGTACATTTCCCGCCGATAAAATAACTGCTGTCTGTGGTTCTATATGGGCTGTGGCAATAATAATCAAAAAAAAAATTAGTTTGCAGCAACATATGGAAAAAAAAAGAGAGAAGAACTATGAACTAGTTCGTTTTTGGAACAGTGAACTTAGTTCAAAATGGTGAAATATAAACTATGAACTGAACAAGTTCATTTTAAAATTTGTGAACTGAACTTTGAACTAGTTCATGTAGAAAGTGAACTTTCCCAACACTGCCCACCCTACATCACATGCTATAAGTATCTGTCAAAAATAAAAGCGTGTGCACATATCCAACCTTCTGAGCCTCTGTTCCAGTCACTGCCACAATCCTCCTGATTCCTTTAGCAATGGCCTCTTCTGATACAATCACAAATGGAGCAGCGTGACCAGAGTTCTGCAGGTGCCTATGGGTAACAAAGTTTAATAAGAAAACTACGAGTAGCCATACCCCCAAAAACAGTTAATCCATTAGGGCTAAGGAAAATATTATTTAACAATGTTTTCAGAAACATTTTAATTGCATTAATAAAAACAAACAAAAAAACTTTTTATTACTAGTAATTTTCATGAAACATAGACAGGACCAAATTCAGAATATTACACAAAGTTGATCATTTATGTTCATATCTACAGAAATGGTCATGTGCTACACATGAATGAAAGCGAGGAGCTGAGTAGGCCTACTACTGCAATATTTGAAGTTTATAATATTAAAGCTCATACGTTCCACCACAGAACTCGATGGAGGTAAGTGAGCCGGCAGGGCTGTTCGGATCGGCCAGCAGCTCCTCCACTGGGACGCCAACAGACACCACTCTAACAGGATCAGGGTACGTCTCATCAAACACTGCCCGCAGACCTTGGATGGCTTTAGCTGCAGCAAGGGGAGCATCCAGAGCATAGACCACCTGAAGAAAGTATTTATTTCAAATTGTGAGAGAAAATATGAAAGAATACAAAAGTGACCTCAAAGACAAGTAAACTATATTTCTGCTTTCAACAGGATAACTTACAATAGGTTACCGTTTTGTTTTCGAACTGTGAATACATGTAAAAAAAGTTTCAAATGGTATGAATATGAAGGTTTCATTAAAAAAAGGGCTTTGAAAGTCTGTTGAACGGTCCTAACCTTAGCGTCGCGAATCATGTTGGAGGCGATCTCTTCTGTGCGGTGCACTTCATCTGTGCTCATTGCACCTTTTGCTGTGAAGTCAAAGCGCAATCTGTCTGGAGCAACCAAAGAGCCCCGCTGATCTGCCTCTCCCAAGACTGAACGCAAAGCAAAGTTAAGGATGTGTGTGGCGGTATGGTTACTCATGATGGGCCTACGACGAGCCTAAGAAGGAGAGAAAAAGAGAGAGGGGAGTCATGTTGCATTCTGTGCTCTCTCAATCCACATTATGTTCCATATTTGCCTATAAACGTACACAATAACACCCTATTCATCTCTCTAGTTTGTCTGAACAAAACATTTTTAGTAGTCACGTGGTTACATACCTCATCCACATGCAGAGTTAGGCGGTCTCCAACCTTCAGTGTGCCGTATACTGTACCAATATGCAGCACGTATCCTCCACGGACCTGAGTATTCTTAACGGTGAACTCCATCCTCTGAAGTAGCAAAACATGACAGCAAAATAAAGCATAACTAAACTTAAGCATCTCAGCTTCTTTCCACATTACCACTCTCAGTTTCTTACATCCTCAGCAGAGTCGTTTTCACGGAGCATGTAGCCTTCATCAAAACTCTGCCCACCCTGCTCGGCGTAGAAAGACGTCTTGTCGAGCAGGACTCCGCACTCTTGACCTGTGGTCACTTCATCAACAAATGCACGCTCCCTCCTGAGAGCCAACACTGTGCCCACTGTTTGCTCAAACACTGAGAGAGACACAATGTCACAGGCATGAAAACCTACGCATAATCAACCGTAAACCCAACAGGAATAGCTAAGGTGTAACTCGTACCATAGTTGCCATTATCATCTGACGTGTACTTGTACTTGGGGCTGTCGTCAGTAGCAGCGACATCTTTTTTTCTGAGCTCATCAATGGCGTAGATGTCCAGCATGATGTGGTCCTCGTCCCCAGAGCCTTTGCCTTGAGACTTTAACTGTGTACACATTTTTAATTTATACCCATTTATATTAACAAAACACCAATTGTTATCAGTTAATAGTGGACATTGGATTTTTAATTGTGCATGCTAATTTTTTTTACATTTAAATTAACTTTGGTGTCATTATAAATAAGTCAAAAGGAAATCGGTCAAATGTAACATGTGAATTTTGGCACCAAAACATTACAGTTGTAGCATAAAAGATGGATTTTCAGTCCTCTGTATTCTACAACTATTAAATTATTCTGCGCTTGAAAATTGCAGTGCATAAAAGAATGAACTAATTTCCACCTGAGCAGCTTTCTTCTCCTCTTCAAAGGCCTGCCTGTCCACCCCCATTCCCCTTTCTTCAGCGATCAGGGCAGTGAGGTCCAGAGGAAAACCATACGTATCGTACAGTAGCCATGCTGTGTCACCTACACAAAACAATGACAGATTTATACAATACTACAAAATTAGTCTTTATTTCTTTGCTTCCAAATGTTTAACAATAGAATTTTTATTTTTGGCAGAAAAACACCACAGAGAAACCTTAAAGCCTCTCTTAAAGCCTTGTGCTTAGATAAACATGGAAGCGACTGAGAGCAGCTGCCTATTAGTGGGCACCGTATATACCTGGTACTCGGTAGGGCTGTCAAACGATTAACCGCGATTAATCGCATCCAAAATAAAAGTTTGTGTTTACATAATATATGTAGGTGCACTGTGTATAATTATTTTGTATATATGTAAACACACCCATGCTTGTATATTTAAGAAAAATATATTATTTAAATATAAAATATTTATATTTATATACAATATAAATTATATATACAGTATATACATAAAAATATGTCTTAAATATATACAAGCATGTGTGTATTTATATATATAAAATAATTATACACAGTGCACCCACATATATTATGTAAACACAAACTTTTATTTTGGATGCGATTAATCGCGATTAATCGTGACAGCCCTAGTACTCGGTATTACAGAAATGGTGGTATCGTCAAATTTTCAAAAATTTAAGTATCAACTTCGTACTTTTGACAAACCTATACTGTACTTGTATATAATCAAATGATTTACAGATCTGACACCACCTTAAAATAACATCTGTGTGGTAGTATGTGCTTTACCTGGAATAGTCTTGCTGTCTCCAAGACTCTGGATCTTGCGGTCTAGGATACGGCGTCCCCTGCTAAGGGTTTTGAGGAACTGTGCCTCTTCCTCATTGATGATGTCCTTAACCATATCAGGATCTTTCCGCAACTCTGGGAAAGCATCACCCTGTAGAGAGCCATGAACCATTAAATGACCATCAAAGATAGAACTGAAATTATTTAATGAAAGTGCATTTCAATAGTGCAGACAGGAGGTTCCTTATGCACATAAAGTTATGAGAGAAATTTTTTTTTCATTACCAGGGACTGAACCACTACATCTACTAAGGAGGCGAAGAAACCCCTCTGTGCACCCAGCTTCTCGTGAGAGTATCGCACTGCACGACGTAGAATTCTTCTCAGCACATAGCTGTGAACACAAAAACGGGGTCACATATACATACATTGGGTATTTATCAAGTACAAGGCAAACTATAACACCATCACCTCACCCTCTGCCTGTGTTGTCAGGTCTCCCACCATCAGACAAGGCGATAGTAATGGTTCGGGCGTGATCAGCCAGGACACGGTATGCCATGTCGATACCATCGGTGTCTTCAGAGCCAACCTTTCCTGTGTATGCCCTGGCACCTGTGCCCTGAAAACCAAGACAATTTTTTTCAATTACATGCAAAAGAGAGTTTTTTTATGTGTTTTTTATGATTGTACCTTCTGAATGGCTACAAAATAAGGGATGAACAAGTCAGTGTCGTAGTTGGACATCTTGTTTTGCAGTACAGAGACCAAGCGCTCCAGTCCCATCCCTGTGTCAATGCTCTTCTTGGGCAGAGGCTTTAGCACGGTCTCCGACTCCCTGCATGGATATGCGTTTAGAACAATATGTGAATACTTACAGTATGTTTGTGTAAAGAATTACAGGTTTCAATATGGCGGCAATGTTAAAATTCAATAATAAAATTATACTACCGTTCAAAGGTTTGGGGTCGGTAATATGTTTTAAAAGTTTTGAAAGTCTCTTATGATCACCATGGTTAAATTTATTTGATCAAAAGCATAAGAGATGTAGTGTATCTGGACTGTGATTGGCCATTCTCCCCAAAAAAGGTGTGAACTCCATTGTCCTTAAAAGGATGAAAGGCCCTCAGCAACACAAGAGAACCATTTATGTTTCTGGTATCATTTAAAGTCCCCGTGAACCGGAAGTTGCAAACAACTTTTCTCCAGTGTTGTGACATATTTCCGAGAGAAACGGAATACTAAATGAGGCAAAATAGTGGGCGTGGCTTTTTTTCCAACTAGCACCTGATTGGATCTAGAAAAATGGGTGTTTCATTCTGAAATGGAGGATGACGCAAGTTTACACACTGTCAATCAATGCTCGCTTGGCGCTCGCAAACACACAGCAGCTGTCAGTTGGAGGGGTGTGGTTATGGACGTTAGGGAGACACCCAAACCGTAAAGCCTACGTCATCGGGCAAGGTCCTCCAATGCAGAGGGGAGGGGCATTTTCAAAATTTGATTAAAGTTTACAAAGCCCAAACATTTTTTTGTATGGATTGACTTGCATGTATGAATTGTTCACCACTAAACGATCAATTTAGGCAAACAAAGTAAGTATGGCCGATTTTGATTTCATGGGGACTTTAAAGCCCTTTGAAGCTGCACTGAAACTGTCATTTGGACCTTGAACCGTTTGGCACCCAATACGCCTTATTCACAGCAGCGCCATCTTTGATTTTTAATGGGAGTGAAAGCGAGGCTGTGAGGGATAGACATGCATCTCTTCAATGGGCTGTACTGTTATTTAATGTCTTTTCGTTTTGTTCTGCTCATGAAACACTGGAAAAATATCTTTCCAAGAAATTTTAGTTGACAAAAAACTCCCGACAGTATAAGCTATGGAAAATTGTAAGTAATCTAGGAGCTTTATTCAGCTTTTTACAGCGGATGCCATTAGAAACACGGTAAGTCTATCCCTCACAGCATCACTTTCATACCTGTCATGGCGCTGCTCTGAATAAGGTCTATGAAGTCCATTATATGGAGAAAAATCCTGGAATGTTTTCATTAAAAACCTTAATTTCTTTTCGATTGAAGAACAAAAGACATGGACATTTTGGATGACATGGGGGTAAGTAAATTATCAGCAAAAGTTTTTTTTTTTTTTTTAAGTGAACTACTCCTTTAATACTCATGGCCAGAGAATAACTTCTCTTAAACATCTATAATAACTTTCATGAGGTTTGATGAAGGTCGGACGATCAAGTTTTGCTGGACAAAGCAGATTATTCGATAATAAACTGACCCCATGTAAGGTTATCCTGACAATCGATCTATCCTAGACAATTGGCATTAATATTTAATGATCATTCGTTGTGGTTGATTATTGATTTAAACAATTGATCTAATTTTGCCTATATTCATGACCTGTTACTAAAAAGATACTCCCTTTATTTGAGCTAAGAATCGCTACAGAGATATTAAAATGTAATTTATTCCTGTGATAACGAAGCAAAGAATTTTCAGCATCATTACTTCAGTCTTCAGTGTCATCTGATTCTTCAGAAATCATTTTAATATGCTTATTTGGAGCACATGAAATATTTACTATTGAAATTATGTTGTTATGTTGTGTTGAAATCAGTTTCTGTTTGATATTTTTGTAGAAACTGATTTTTTTGATGAAAGTATTTTGCTTTAAGAAATGCTTTGTAACATTATAAATATCACTACTGTAATTTTCGATAAATTTCATGCCATTCAATTAATATATAGCCTACTTTAAATAAATTTTATCTATATATAACTTTAAGTGATAACCAATAAAGGGCTAAAAAAAACACCCTTCCATTGAACGATTCAAACATTCAATTTGTCTTAAATATGAATTAATCTACTTCATATTACATATCCAATATAAGCTGACATCAATTAAAAAACATCTCTAATTCCAGTCAATAACTGATATATTGTTCATTCATATGAACAATACATTACAAGAAGTGTCTCTAAAAATAATATCTCTAAGTATGTGTGAACTTTTAATAAAGTATTTACCATTGTTAGCAATAGTTAACAAGGAGCAGTAGTTTACCTGTTAAACTGGATGAACACCAGGTTCCAGATTTCAAGCACATTCGGGTCATCCATGTTGACCAAGTGGGCGGCATCTCTGCCTCCAATGCGATCAAAGTGGATCTCGCTGCACGGTCCACATGGACCAGTGTCACCCATCTCCCAGAAATTATCTTTCATACTGCCGGGCAGAATACGGCTCTCCTCCATTCTGGGACCGAGTCAAGACAATTGAGAAATATCTTACTATTATACATCAATAACTCAATGCACCTTATACATATTTGGGTACTCACCCCAAGTCCAGCCAGATCTGCTTGCACTCTAGGTCAGCTTCCAGGCCTGCATCAGCATGACCACCAAAATAAGTCACATAGAGGCGTTCAATAGGTATGCCAAACTCCTGCGTCAGCAGCTCCAGTGCCATCTTGCAGGCCAGGTGCTAGATATAGAATGGACAAAAAAAGAACTTAAAGGATGCAAAGAGAAAAGACCAAAATTATTTTTTACAGCACATAAATATAAAAAAGAGTATCAGTACTATGAAAATATAGATCTTTCTCTCTCTCTTACTTTGAAATAATCTCCAAAGGACCAAGAGCCTAACATCTCAAAGAAAGTGTGATGGTACACGTCTTTGCCCACATCATCAAGATCATTGTGCTTCCCACCAGCACGAATGCACTTCTGTGTGTTTGCAGCACGGCGAAGCCTGGCCATGGGGTGGGATGGGTCGATGGTGTTCAGGAAGATGGGCTTGAACTATTGAGAAGATGAAGATAACAATTAATTTTCTATAACAAATTTGACACCCATTTATGTAACTAAGCTTAAATCTCCTAACCTGGTTCATCCCAGCATTGGCAAAGAGCAGAGTGGGGTCATCTAGCGGAATGGTGGCTGACGAGTGGACATACTGGTGCTCATAGCGACGGAAGAAGTCAATGAACTTCTCACGGATCTGTGCAGCAGTCAGCGAAGAGTCCATGCTGGTTGAGTTTTTCTCAGGGGACTAGGGATATAAACAAACACACAGTGAGTCAGAAACCGGTTTTACAAAAACAATGGGTGGATTAAACATGTAGCTGCAGCTTGTTAAACTATTCAACATCAACAATCAAGAATATGCAATTTACACCTGCACACCTCAGGATCACTACATGATCTGCATTCACAGTTCACACCGGGACATTCAAGAGACAAAGCCGTTTAGTGAGGAAGTAAAGCTTGAAAAAACCTATTAAACAGACAACATTCTCACAGCAAGGCAGTGAGCAATTGTGAAGGCCAAGTATGGTAATCTACAGTATACTCTGAATTTGTCCTCTGCATTTAACCCATCCAAGTTAGCGCACACACATTATTAGCAAGACACACACACCGCAAACCATGGACAAACACCTGTAGCAGTGGGCAGAGTGATTGGGTATTGGGTGCCTTGCTCAAGGGCACCTCGGTCAAACTCATTTCCTTCCGGTATTGAGAGTCAAACCCACAACCTTCAGGTTACCAGTCTGACTCTCTAACCATTAGGCCACGCCCACAACTACCCCCAAACATGAGCGCAAAGTGAGATGTGACTATTTTTTCCATTAAACCATCATTCTTTTATTGCGGCTGCAAATAATATTTTATAATTACTTAATGTTTTTCTTTCAGGGGTCATTTGTGTATATATTTATACTTTAAAAGCATTTATTTTACCATGGTAAAATAGCAGAGGGTAAAGGCGGTCTCACCAATCTGAAAGTTCTGTGCAACTACCACTATGGGCAAAATGGAAAAATTGTATGCAAATGTTGAGATATTAGACTTGAATCTTCCTCACAGGAATATAAAAGGACGCTCCTAAGCAGGTGGTGCCTGTATGCAGCAAACAATAGACATCCCTAAAGTATTTACAGCACCACTCCCATAACAACTTTATTCAAAACATAAAGACAGCTTTTTCCAAATGACAACTACATAACCACACCAGCCATTCATGCCAGAAACCGCATTCATTGTAAGACAATTAACTAAACTGCTTCAACATCTGCATGCTGAGAACCAGAATTTCCTTGCTATAATGGCGTGGACTTGAAAATAGTTTTTTTTTAAAACAAAGCTGAAATTGATTTACAATCAATATTGCTCAACAATAAGGAACACGATTTCACATGTCTAGTAAATGGTTTTACTGGACCCACGACCCATCATGTTTTTATGTGTCAGATATACCATATGGACATAATGGTACTGTTGATTAAAATGCTAAATTTGATATTACATTGTGGGTTTAAATGAATTGGCTTGGACAATAGTGACACCAGCATAGCAATATTCATGATTGTGAAGCTGAAAATACAGAATTATTTTAGTCGAATATGCTTGCACTCTTTCACTGACTAGATATATAAATAATGTCGGACACTTTTTACAGGTAACATCAGACATTCGGCATTATCAGATCAGGACTCACAAATATTCCCCCATTGCATTATTATACATTATAAATAGCACTTTAATGTAGTACTGACTGACACTAAAACTCTGAAAACTTTTTTATTTTATTTTTATTTTGGGGGGACTATACACGACGATACAGATCGTCACTACCCACGGTACGTATTGTTGCATTTTTGTATTGCGATATATTGTGGCACGATATATTGATAAACCCCTAAGTGATGCTCATGTTACTTCATAGGATTAAAATTAAAAAAAGCTTCTACTAAACGATTAAATGTAATCAATAATAATAATAATAAGCATAATATATTAAAACAACAGCTATATTCATATACTGAAAATACATAAATGACTTTTATTATATTCCCAATTAATAAATGTAAATGTAATGATGAAGCAGCACAGGGCAGTGAAGAAGAACTTATTTCGTAACCTTTTATTTACATACTAATTAAAAAAAAACTTACTGATATTAATTTAAATCTATTTTAAAGCAAAGACCTGATAAAGAATGCAGCAAAAAAACTAAAAACCTTCAAATTCAAAAGAAATGACTGGTACATCCTTTTTGTTTAATCCTGGACAATGCTTTGTGAAGGAGATGAGAAACGGGCACTCAACATGAGGCAAAATTAGTGAGCAAAACAAGTCAACAGACCATGACTGGCACACAGTGAGGTTCACCTGACAACAGAAGAAAGCTTTGGCACATAAAAATGTGAGATGAAGAGCCATAGATAATGATGCTCTATGAACCTAGAGGAAGTGTAACACGATTTACTACAATACGAATAATACCTACAAAACCCAATTCACATTAATGCAGAACCATATAAAAGCAAATTACATGATAGTTGTACACACATATAAATAAAAACTAAATCGTATTATTATTATTATTATTTTTTTTTTTTTTTTGCTGCACTGCAACCAGTGCACTGACATAGGCCAAACCCATAGACTACAAGGTAACGCTGACTTGTGCACATAAACATCTCCATCATGATTTGCATGATCTGGATTCTGCATTAGACAAGTAACCCAGTCATTATGTCAAAGTAACTTACATAAATTGTTGAATGGTAACGTTACAGTCTTTCAGATTTATTTTACAATAGCATGCTTCCTCTAAGCACGAGACAAGGCAAGGCTATGCTGCCAATCCAGTCATTCACTAAAACATCATGTAACTGGATTCATATAGTCTCATGATACGGACCATCAAGATATATAGTAAATAGATTACATATAACGTAATGAAACAAATATAAACTTACGAATAATAATCGTACAGCCGCTTCTGAAGCCAGTCACACTACTTCTCACGCCGGTTGAAACCAAAAGGAGGAGACAGGACAGACGACAATGTACCGCCCACATCATAGATGATTGGTTGAAGAAGAGTGATGTTTTTGTGTACGTAGTTTCTATTGGTTTAGGATGCTGTCGATCAAGACAAAGACGGGACTGGATATGTCAACTAAGGACGGAACTGGATGATGCAATGATAAAGTAACAGTGCACTGATATTTACGTTCTTATTTATTATCTTTATTTTTTAATACAATCTTGATTTATAATCTGTTTATTTTCTACTGGTTTATTTATTTTTTGTAAATTGTTTTACATAGATCATTATGCGTGGTCATTTGTAACTTACTTTTCCACTTCTTCTTCTTATTTTTATTAGTAATAATAATTCATAATAATAATAATAATAATAATAATAATAATTATTATTATTATCATACAAGAATTCAAATGGATGCATCAGTATATTCAAACTGTGATGTGATAAAGGAATTAAATATTTTGTACAATTATTGCAAGGTAAAAGTTTACAATAATAATTATTAATTATAGTTTTTTATTTAATTTTTAAAATTAAAGTTAAAGATAAATAAAAAAAGCACTTTATATTGTGTAGATATTTGAGAGGGACAGTAAGCATTTCCTCACAGCAGGCGGCGATAAAGATCTTTAAAATTTTAACAACTTAAAATTCTTCTTTCAAGAAACTAGCAGGAGAAATATATATGAGTTTTAAGCCATATCATTCACATGACAGTGGCGCTACTAAAATCAGAAATGTACCTGTAATAAATGTCACCTGCTCATGTTCAGAGGTGGACAGTAACAAAGTACATTTACTGAGTAGTAGCTTTGAGTATTATTTTTTTCTGGGTTTCTTTTTTCCTTAACGTCACTACATTTGAAAGACAAATGTGTATTCTTTACTCAAGGTCATTAAAAGTAGTAAGATCAGTCGGATATACGTCAAACCACGATGTTAGATTGACGTCAACATCCAACGTCAGACAGACACTGAATTTTGCTTGAAAATGAAAAGACATCAACCTCATTTTAATTTTTAGCTTTGGATTTGGTCTTCTAAATGCGAATTTTGTCATTTTTTGGAGCACACTAGCTTATAGATAACAGTAGGCTAGCCTATATTAAAAAGCCAAAACACTTTAAACAAGGAATAGCCTGTTCCAAAACTATTTGAGGGAACAGCCATTTGGGTGTCCGAAAACATTGTGGACGTTATGTGCACTTATTTAATTTCACATACAATCCCACTACTGGAACTGTGTTCTATAAATAAATTTGATATGAGGGATATGAGGGTAGGCAGGCAATACATACTGTAGATTCAGAGGCATAAGGTACTGTAAGTATTACAATAATAAAACAATGCAATTACATTTACTTTTGATACTTTTGTACTAATAAAAACGAGTACTTCTGTACTTTTACTTAAGTAAAACTCAGTCTTTACAACTTTTACTTATAACGGAGTAATATTTGACCAGTAGGATCTGCACTCTCATTCAAGTAAGGAAGTTTTGTACTTTGTCCACCTCTGATTATAATATAGCCAAACCTAAAATAACATTGATAAACAGTGAACACTTGGGCAAATATATAATATTTATCTGACAGTCATATTTACATGCATGTATTTATTATTATTAATATTACATAACATTTATTTCAAACACAACAACAACATAATCCAGAAAGTACAAAGTAAACAATTGTTTCTGGGCATTTTACATGTAGAAAAATAGCTTTTGTGGATTTTATATTCAATGTCTGTATGAAAGCATGCAAAGATATCATTTATGCTCATAAAGTAATTATAAAGGAAATGTTGCATGTAAACAAAATGTAAACAAATAGCAAACAAAACGTAACAAGCAAAGAAGCTGTATGCAAGCCAAGTATAGTGCATTAAAGGTATTATTTACAAACACACTAAATGATTTATGGTTCTCTAAATTCTATTTGCTTGTCTAGATTTCTGTGACAGCATTCATATTTCGCATTTTTGTTCGAACAATGATAGAGGCTTCTCCCTTGACATCTCTCAGTCTGTCTGAGTCAAAGTCGACAAGCAGTTTCCTCAGGCCAGCACGGGTGGGTTTGAAGGAGAATTTAACTGTCACACCTTGACCAGGTCCAATCTTTCCACTAGAGAAAGAGAGATATTAACAGTCAACCATAACTTGGATGTCTTGGATCATGTCTGATGCACTTTAGGAAACTCATACTGGATCCTAGAATTCTTACTTGTGTCATTTCTAAAACTAGTACTTACTGTGTTTTTATTTCTCTGGTCTCTGTTAGTCCTGCTCCCTCTGCGGTAAACACGCCTCCTTGAAGACTAACAGGCAAAGGATTGGTGAAGGTGATGTGTGCTGTCAATTTGCGTGATACAATCGCATTTCCAATAATCTGAAATGAAGAAAAAAAACATTGATTAGCAAAAGTGGTCAGTAAAGCCTCTCTCATCATTTACTCACCCTCATGCCATCCCAGATGTAAACAACATTATTTCTTCAGATAAGCACAAATGACAATTTTTAGGAAAATAATCCATCTCCGACTGTCCATATAATGTCATTGAACAGGTGCCGCTCAGTTGACGCTTGAGAAACCACACACAGTGAGCCTACGACCCCAGTGGATGAATCAATGTCTATTGAAGCAAAATGATAGGTGTGTGTAAGAAAAATACAAAAAAAAATCTTTGTTTGTGTTTATCTAAAGATGAAGAAAGAAAGTCTTATACATTGGGGATGGCATGAGTGAGAGTACATGATGAGAGAATTTCGAATTTTCCCATTAATTACCTTGATATGAAGTACTGGCATTTTTAAGGGGATATTGATTTCTTGCAGGATGATGTTGTCTTGCTCAGTGGGTTGAAGGAGGGCTGTGACCCTTATCATGTGATGTTCAGACACACACGCCCCATAATGGTCATACTGAAGTCGCAATACTTCTTTATGAGCTAAAAAATGATGTAAGATAATTGAGAAATTATTGTTAACTGCAAACTTTGTTTGCAGATGCCATATGTGCAATCATAATTTTGTTAGTCTACCTTTGTGAGCTGGTAATGTAAGAGAGGACGTCTTTCTCTGGCACTCTCCGCGGTGGATACTATTGTAGGTTATTGCGTTCGACGTGACTGTGAGTTGTGCATCTGTGTCCTCCCTCCCAGCATTATACACCTCTATGAACACATCAAAGTCTGTCCCGTGTATAGCTGGAGCGTGCTTGATGAAAAGCTCAAGCTGTCCTGGGACTTCGTTCTCTCGGCCCACTTGTCTTCCTGCCTTTTTATAAACCTGTCGCTCCTTCATTGAGCCTGTGGTGGGAAAAAGGATAAATATCAAGTGTCAAAAATTCCAAAATCAGTTTGCAAGGACAAATATACATAAAATGATTTTCTTGCCAATGTGTCTTATTGTGAATAGCTCGAGGGTGAAATGTCTTTCTTGTTTATGCCAGCATCATCGAGATGTAATTTATAGTATAAATAAAAAAAGAAATAAATGGTTAAATAAATAGAATTTAAGACAATGACCTTAGAGTCACCATGAAATCAAAATGGACAATTCTTTTTTTTTTTTAATTGAATATTACAGTATTTATTATGATTTATCCATGCACATTATTTTTTCAAATTAATGTGCCCTCATAATCTTTAATCAAAATTACTTCCCCTCCAACATGCAATGACATTTCCAATGACGTCTTTAAGGTATCTCATGAGGGCAAGACAACATGTCACTCACATGACTTCACAGCAATAGCCAACCACAATGATCCAACGATCCAATCAATTCATGATGGACAAAATCAAGTCTCGCCCTTCATTTTTTCTTGTTACGCCACAATACGGTAGAAATGACTATTGCAACTTTCGTTTCATGCAGAATTTAAAATCAGAAGAGATGTCATAGATCATAAACTTGTTTAGTTTATTAAAGAGTGTTTCAATAAAGTTGAAACAAATGAATAGATTTGACTTGCTGGACATTACCTTCAGGATATTTGTAATTAGCAGTAATGTCCTCTCTGAAGTCTCCATACACACTCTTAGTGCTAATGTTCCGTCCAATAGTTTTACTGTTTTGGGACACTTGAGATCGTTCCCCATCTGGATGAACAATCCAGACAATCAGATCTGCGTTCACCTCAGAAAACACAAATGGGGTGTCGTACTTCAACCCCACCTCTCCTTCCTTGACTGCACGGACTGGGCAAGGCCCACAGCAGAAAACTCCTATAAGAACATGGAAGCAGTCAGAGGATGTAGTCAAACTAATATTCCATTTTTTTTACACTTTAAGGAGTAAAGCTTCCTTATACGAAAGATTACCATCACTCCTTTCTTGAGGCGTTGGATCTAGCACCTGCCATCCATCGTAACCTTCTGGGAGGTCATCACGTTTCATCCAGGACTCGACCCAACAGTGGTAATTCCTGAAAAAAGGATGAAGCTTACAGATCAGTGACTACAGAGGAGAATGTTTTTGCTTAGAGTTATTCTTTATGAAACGTATGCTCTAATTAAGTATCAACGTTGTCTCAAATATTTCTCCTGTAGTTGCTTAGGAGAAATAAATACAGACAGAAATGAAACAACTGTTGTCATGCAGAAAGACAGGCTTTAGAGCTGTACGTTTTATGTGGATAATATCAAAACTTACCAGATGCTGTCCTTCCTTCCTTCAGACACACTTTCAAGTTGATCATCGAAGAGATAATCCACAGAAATGTTTGCATCGGTGTCATGAGCAGATGAGTAATTAGTGATGCATCTGGTTGGAATGCCAAGACAGCGGAGGACTGTGGAAAGGCGAATTTACAGATCACGTGCAAGACATAATAACATTAGTACGCTATTCTGAATTTAGCAAATGATTCATAAACTGCTCTGATAGTTCAGTTCAGAGAAGAATTTTAGTATTCACTAAATCAACCGCCTCATTCATTCGGGAATCAGACTACAGTGTGTTC